CAGTATTCGCATTTAAAAGTTATATTTGGTTTACTTGTCCCTTAAGAAAAATGAAAAGAAACCAATGACATTTAGCATTAAAGTTCATCCCCGCAGTGAATCTTTGTCTTTGGATGTGATTTTAGTCCACTCGTGCACATAGTGCTCAGAGGTGAGCTTTTATGATAATAGTGTGTTTGTCAATTTCGTTATCCACAATTTCACAAACAACATTTCCTTAATGACCAGAAATTTTGACCAAACATCACAGGATTGATCCTCATGTGATCTTTTACAAAATACATGTAGTTATAAAATAGGTCTGTCGGATGCATAAATATTTAACAGGAGGTAAAAATAGACTTTGAAAATAAATATTCTAAAAATCTTCTTTTCAGAAACTTAAATGTTCAGAGCTTAGATACTTAACATGTAGCATAACGTTGTGGTTCTCTACATTTGTTAAACAAATTAAGCCCATACGGTCAATAGTTTACAAAGGTTTATAGGAAAATACATGTTTTCTTTAATGAAACCGCATTGTAATTGTCATGTCAAATCATCTTCCTCTGCAAAAGTTTATTAACTTTGCTGCTGAGGTCAAAATTACTCCTGTCTTGGAGGGGGTCATTTAGTGAATATAGACTTGTATTTGGGGAAAAAACATTAACGTCTTATTTTGTGCAACTACAATGCCAAGAACTGAGATAGTAGACATGAAGTACTGCCTAGTGAGCCTCTATAAAAGTTATTTGAGTCATGTACCCGAGGTCAAAAATTAAAACGCCCTTGGGTGAGATATTTTACAAAAACTTGTATTGTTAAATGTCTTAAAAAGTATACTCAACATCACTAATTCCTCGTCATCACTTATTTCACGTTAATGGCATATTTTCATGTGGCCTGTGTTATAATTGGTCAGAATTGACATATTTTATTCATACATCTATGCAACAAAGTTTTTGTGCAAAATATTTTAAATCTATAGATTTTTACGTAAAACAGAACATTTTCAAAAATTTGCAAAAAGCAACAATAGTCCGTTAAATTTGTGCATACATCTGAAACAATCATCATTTTCTAAATGTTCTTGTCCGTTAAAAAGTAAATTTTGAGATATAATGTAAAGATACTTTTAATATTTAAATTATGCAAAATAACATATAGAAATTGTAACTGAAACATAAAAAAAACTGAAATAAAACACCATTACTGTGATTTAAATGATGACATACTGTTTTCAAAATGGCTGACATATGGTCTACGTCTGGCTCATTTAAACTGATTTTTACTAATTATATTGTTGTTTCCTTGTGTAATTCAGCAGAAAATACCTATGACAATTTTTGTACCATAAGTTTCATGTGTTGTTTTCTTTCTTGCTTCAAAGCGTTAAGTGCCGTGAACTAAGAGGAGCACAGTATAAATGTCCACAGTTCAGATATTCTGCATGTAGCATCACCTTGTAAAGACTTGTATTGGAAAATATATGTAAGCCTTCTTTTGTGAAATTATTCTTCGTGTGTGAAATTACAATACCAAGAGCTTAGTTCTTTGCCACGAAGCATTTCGTATAAGACATTTGAAAATGGTGCAGCTTTGGAAAAAGTGCTAACCCAACGTGACATCATTACTGTCTTTAACATTGAAAATAAAAACAATGTGACTCTTTTAGGCAATGTATTTCAGGTAAGCGAATCAGGACCGTCATGACCCTCTTGTTATAGAAGAGAACGATTGTAAATTACCCTTTGATAAACACAGATTAATGGATTAAAGATCAAATAAGACTAAAGTTTGCATAGGAATTATATATTGAACATAACATTAATAATTATTCTTGTTTTGTTCATCGGCAATTTAGGTATTAGGACAACATATGTTTAAGAGATCTCGGTCTTTCATATTTCCGATTATTTCTTTCTGAAAACAAAGACAAAGAGGCACGGGGTATGTAAAACGTGAAACGACTTCGCAAATGCTGCGCATACATAAAACAATTCACATATATAATTATCATTGTGGTGCCATCTTTTGCTTTTTGAATTTGCCATAAAAACATCTGGCTTAAGAGAAATGACAAGTGCATCCGTCTGCTGTACGCAGACATGTCAAAATGAAGATTCACTGAAGTAACACTTTGCTTACGTAATATCCATTGTATAAACATGACATTTATGAAACCTTATTTTTCAGACATTTTGTCAGATATTTTCTAAAATAGATTAACTTCTTTATTATTATATCTTCTCCTGACAGCTCAGACTGTATTTATATTAAAGCACTCCCGCGAACTTAAAGGTAATAATAGTACTTATAGAAAAAGGTACGATGACATTCAATCATTCGTTCCTTCCTTCGTTCGTTCCTTCCTTCCTTTTCATTCCTTTCCATTCATTTATTCATTCAATCATTCATTTTTTTAATTCATTCTTCGTTTGTTTGTTCGTCATTCCTTCCTTTCTTCATTACTTCCTTCATTCCTTCATTCCTTCATTCATTCATTCATTCATTCATTCATTCATTCATTCATTCATTTATTCTATATGTAGTTTGTTCAAATACATGTTATATTTTATCTTGCATACTATGACTTTGGTTTTCATTTAAAAAGGTATAAAGCTATTTCTATTTTTATAAAATGTATAATCAGTAAAATTTCTGTATAGTGTTGATCAGAACCTGCTCTTAAAACAATAATTGACTACATACAAATAAAGTAATCGTGTTTTTTTTTACCCTTTTTTACATTATACCGGGACAGTTTAATTGAATAAATCTCAGCTTTGGTGTTTGCACAAAAATACTAGCAAACTTGGAATTTCCTCTTAAGCGTTCACGTTTTAAGCTTATTAATCTAAATGTTTATTTTTTTTAAAGTTGCTCTGTTTCTATACTAACATATTTAAAAATAAAAATCTGCTCTGACTTTTCAATAGCATCGACATTGTTATCTTAAGGTTGCTTGTCCGATACTCGGGCGAAGCAAAGTTTTTCTGTGACAACTAATCTTTGACACTGAGTCTTAAGTTGATTGTTTTTCCAGTAATGGGAAAAGAAGTCAACCAGAAATTGTAACTTACTGGTAGTTATCCAGAAAAAAATTAGTAAGGTTGATAGACCGCCGAGAGATGTGCAAAGTGTTAAAATCGGCATGAAAGTACAAATAAAATCACATAAAATTAATTCGCACCGATTAGGTCATTATCGCTGTTATTGTGCGACGTTAAACCCAACAAAAAGTAATAATGATAAATAAAGGTCGTAAATGATATATATTCAATTCCATCTAAATAATCTCTATAAGCTATAGAATGCAATAAAATCTATTATAGAAAATGATGTCAAATTATTCTATTGCATATAAATGACAACATGTCTTTGATATATTGGTTATCAGGAAATATTATCGTCACAATAATCCAATGTTGTCTTGTAATATTCACCGTATTGTCACCATGGTAACAGCGTTTGTCCTTTTCCGCATAACATTTATATAACATGAGTTATTTGTTAGCAACCATCGAGGGTTTTTTTGTATATTTTTTGTTCGGTACTCTTATATAGTATAAAAAAGGATTAAAATATATCTTACTTGAAAAAAAAGTAATTGTTATATCTTATTTCATGTGTAATTATATCTGATTTTTTTTAATTATTTTATTTCATTTTCATTTTTTTTAAAGTTCTATTCAATCCTGATACAATGTACTGTGTAGCATGTTCAACGAATAATAAAATATAATGGTTAAATTTGAGTTAACTTCATGGATAAAAATAGAATTGTACCAAAGAAGATGTATTCAGTTCAACGAGGTATTTATGTTTGTTTTTGATTTTATTTTGTTAATATTTTTGTTTCTGGTTTATTTTTTTAACTCAATATTTTTGTTTTTGGTTGGTTGTTTCAGTGCTGTGAAAAATCGTTTTATACTGAAAATACGGAAAATGAAATTACGCTTTTTATTTCATCAATATTTCTCAATATGTTTTTCATAAGTATATAATAAATATCTATTTGTTTCGTTACATTTGTTTTTTTTTTTAATTTTGCTACCTTTATGTCAAATAACGTAACTTTCATCACTTATTTCTCTTCGTGATAAGCAACTTATATACACGGTAATTAACTAATTTACATTATTACATTAATTACATTATTGTAACATTATTTAACACCTGGTTGCAACTTCTAAAGAAGACAGATTAAAAATACCACATATAGATTACAGTAAAGGCTTTAAGCAGCACGCCTCCAGATTCATCCTAATTTTCAATTCATGAAAATGTTTAATATGTATTTAAAAGTAAAATTTTGTAAAGTGAACAAAAGAAAGTAATTGACACGTGGCTGTCAGCACTAATGATCAACGTAAATTACAAAAAAGGAGATCAAAATATGCGAAAATAGCCCTTACTGCGTTAGTAACGCAGTAGAAATATGGTGATATATACTGCAAAATCAGTCATTAATTGCACACAAGATATGAATTATCACTTGAATCTTTATTTTTTTCATTTTCTTAAAATCTTAGCACATTTTTCGGAAGTTTAATTTTCTTGAAATATTTTGGCTCATCTGTTGGCACGCAGCCTTAAAAACACCATACATTGGTTTATGTTTATTGGTTTAACAGTCGGATAAAGTGGAAATATTTTTCTGGTTAATGCCGAAAAAAAAGAACACATATTGTTTAAAGAATAGCTTATAAACCCCATATATTATAAAGTCCGTCCGTCTGTACGTCCGTTAAAATTTTTCTTTTACTTTAATAAGTCCGTCCGTCTGTACGTCCGTTCACATTTTTCTTTTACATTAATCAGTTTTGTTCATTTTCGCATTGTCAGGGTAAGCCTCATTCTTGTTTAAAAATTGTTTTATATCGTTTTAGACTTACAGTACAAACAAATCGACACACATTTGATTTTTTAAGTTCAGACGCCTCTCACTGGATTTCTATCTAGATATTTCTGTTGTTGACAAATGAGAAATTCGTTTTTTAAAATGCACTTTGCAGAACTGTTTGTGAAGAATGAGTTGGGCAAGGAAAGACTTACAGTTCCGCTTGAATCGTATGACATCGGTTGTTAGCCCTTTGCCTCCAGATCACATAGTAAATGGACAGAATCACATGTTGACAAAAATGAAGAAAACATCGAAGGAGAAATACAAGAAGTTGTTTAAGTTGATAGTATTGACGGCCATACCGACACTTATTGTAATAACACAAAGTGTGGTGAACCTCAATGAGGATTATCAGGTACTTAAACTCCGTCAGAAAAAAAAAGCTTAATTGTAATTTCTTTCGTCCTTGATTAAAAAAACAACAACAACACATTTTCTACAAAGGTATCTTTACTATGTAGAAAATATATATAACTTTAGGGGCCCGACTGCCCCTTTATTACCATATAGGGGCATTAAGATTTGTATTAAATCACCCATATCTGATTCTGCATGCCTTTGGTCTGAAAATGTGTTTAATTTTCTTTGCTACATCGTTTAAATTTGGTGTTTCTGTTACAAAGACAGTTATGATGTTTAATACACGAGTGACTTCTTTCAGATGTATCACGCCAATCGTATTGTCAAAGAAGGCATACAACAAACCATTACAATTAGTGACGTCATCCATCAGGTACAGATAGAAAGAGGGACGTCGGCACTTTATGTCACATCAAATGGCGACCCCTTTGTAAGACAGCGATTGGTGACGTATTACGGCCACACGGACGTAGCCATTACGTCACTTTCTACGGTTTCTCTCTCTTTAAATCTTAGCAATTTAAAGATTACTGCGGAATACCAACTACAAGAATATATAGCAGTGTTTCGACAAAACCTACAGCCAGAAAACACCACATTGAACGCTGTTATACAGTTTTACACAGAGATAAATGTGAAACTTATTGAACTTATGTCTGATAGGGTCAGAATGAAGAGACCGTTTAGTTTCTGGACTGAATTAGCTGCGTATCAGCTCATCATTGCTAGTAAAGAAGAGGCGGGGATCGAACGGGCTTTAGGGAGCACATACTTTGCCAGAGGTATGCTTTAAAATTCTATTCTCTAGTCTATGCTAGTACCTCAAGTTCTGCATACCCGTTCCATGAGAACAATTCCTAGTGAAATACTTTCATTATTCGTTATTTTTGGCTTGTCAGACCTACTTAAAACTTCATGACATGAAATTGTCTTTTCTTGAAAATTTATATAACATTTTAGTGTTGTTTCAATTTGATTCGTTTGAAGTTTATGAATTAGTTTATATATATGTATTTGGAATTAAATCATTGTATAGTTTTTCACAATAGGATTTCGCAAACACATGGAAGGTTCAAGCGGTGAATATAACCATTGTGGAAGCAGTCACTGTAAGGTTTTTACACCTGGTGTCGGTACAGGCCCATATATCCAGCTCGAAGGTAACTATTTGCAGCAGTAACGAGGCTCTGTCGAGTTTTCGCTTAAAGTTGCCTGAGAGCTAGATATTCCTGCCTGTGACGACAGCCGATGTATGATTCTTTTTCTTGCATATTACATGCAAGTCATATTTTGGAAAGAAATAAAGAAAACTAATATTTTCATGTTGCAATTCATTTCATAAAAGGCATGCGGGAATGACGTCAATGTAAGCATGCGACTTGTCTAACACGGGGTGCAATACAGGTATATTAAGCACCGTGGTAAACTGTAGATAATCTTGTCTGATATGCAAGAAAATTTTCCTCCATCACTTATCTCGTACAGTTTGATTCGTCATGACATGTCAATGGTAGATTGATAATTAACAGATGAAGGAAGTATAATAAATTCTGGTTGATGATCATTTCTCGTACCTGTCTAGAATTATTGACATGTTTTAGGTGCTCTTCCGGTCCATGATCTTCTGTGGTATAATGAAAAGAACGTTTTGGGACTAACTCTTCTTGACCAGGGGCTGAAATTCTCCGCGCATGCGAAGGACCTTCTTCGTTCATCAATCAGTGGTACAAACTTAGTTGAAAGTTTATCAAATATGAGAGAGGACATTAGAAACAATACATTGAGTGGACCCTCTATTCATTACAGTACTCTTTGGTTTGATAACATGACGACATATATAGATATTCTGAAATACGTTCAAGAAAGTCTGGCCTCGAGTATAGTCAAGGTAATTGTTTGGGTTTTCTTTCGTTTTTTCTTCTTTTATATTGTTGGGGGGATGTTGCTTTTTTAATATATCCGGCATAACTTGATAATTAACAATGTAAAAAAACGACTTTTCTCGGTGCTAGAGCCTGAATAATTTAATTAAGTTAAAGTTCACAAAAGGCAGTTGTTATCTTAAATTTCATATTAGAAGTATGTGTCTTGGACAGTTACCTCCTATTATGCACTTAGATAAATGTATGAAATTTCGACACATTCCCTTTGGTAGTTTTGGAGATACCGACCTGCACGCATAAACTTTACCAAAGTGTGACAGCGGCGCCGACATCAACGCCAACGCCTGGGAGAGTACAATAGCTTTCCCAATTGTTCGCATAGTAGTGCTTAATACGAAAACTAATTTGTTAAACTAATACATGTTTGCAGATATTTCTCTTCTGACAGTTTAAGGTTGGAAATTTGGCTCTAATTTTTTTTATTCTAAAAGAGAAACGAACAATTAAAAGTAAAGATGAAATACTTTGTTGAATTTTTTTTCAGAGCGCTAATGAAGATATTAGTCATCTTAAGAATCAACTAATAGCAAGTAGTGTACAGTTGTGTGTTGCGGTTATCATGATGCCTGTGGTTCTTGTTCTTGTTAGAAACATTGTTAACATTTCTAGTAAGCTCAAGGAACGGACGTTTGATTTGGAGGAAGAAAAACAACAAACGGAAAAGCTTCTGACTGAATTAGAAGACGAACGTAAACGAACGGAAGCACTGTTGCATCAGCTCCTACCAAAGTCGGTTGCTACAACTCTTATGGAAAATGGAAGTGTTGATCCGGAGTCGTTTAGTTCAGTGACAATAATGTTTTCAGATGTTGTGGGATTTACGAAGATAGCAAGGTGAGTCTTCTTTTGACATCTTGTCGTCTTGTCTGTGATATACAGACTTCATAACATCTAACTCTCATTTCATTTTTTTATTCTATTTCCGCAAATTATTTTCTCGTTTAGGGCACACACATTCTCTTAATAGGGACCATACGCCGCTTTTTATGGAATGACATGTACTTGTCACAGGCTCCAGAATAACCGCCGCAAAACACATCAGCGGTTTTCTGAATTAAAAATTTAGCCGTTTTCGTATTAGAAGTTGAATCCTGCTTTAGTCGGTGCTAGTGGGCATGGACGGTTGCTTGCAATTACCACCAGCGTCCGTGAATAGGTTCATTCAAACCGAATCTGCAACATTTTCATTCTTGTAGTCTTTTGGAGTCCTTAAGGGATATCTTTATGTAAATGTATAATTGTTTATTTTGATTTGTTCACACTCTTACAATTATAATATAAGCTTGAAAAGTGTTTAACAAACTCCATTTTATTTCTCGTATTATTTGTTTTTGTAATCATTGACCTCAGGCATGGAGGGATAAAAATTGTATACTGCTTCAGTCGGTGCAACTGGGTGCCGGCGATGTTGTACTGTTACATCATCTCTCAATCAAATGAATTCTGCAATTTTTACATATGCAAATTGTTTTTCAATGCATTCAAATTATCATACCTCTCCGTTTCCGTTACTTACTATGTTAGTAACTAACAGCAAAGATGGTATCAGTATTGATGTTCATGTTGTAACGCTTGCTGATACACTTTTATATATTTCTCCCTAAACAAAAATAGCTCAAGCACGCCGATGGAAGTCGTCCAAATGCTGAACAAACTGTATAAGATTATGGATGGACATGTGGAAAGATTCGATGTATACAAAGTGGAAACTATTGGTAAATACCAGATATTGATTTTAGACTTGTATCAAAAAGATTTAAGAAGAAAACAATCATATATGTCCTTGTCGAACTTTTTGTATTCTTTCACGAACTCTTTGTAGTCTTTCAAAATAATATCAAAAATAAAGAGTTAACAACAACCTAGATTAATAAAACGATTACCAGCTTGAATTTATGTTTGTCCGACTGTATAAGCTTATAGACATACTTTTAAATCCATCTTTACCCACCCAACTAGTACAGAGAAATTCGTGTACAGTTTCTGGCTGAAGAAAAAAAACTGCTCTTCCCTGACTGGATGATGTACCAATGCGACTAGCGATTCTTAGATGACTTGTCCGGTGCGTTAGTCACTCGACCTTGCAATTATTTAAGTGTTAGTATTATTGTCTTAGTATGGCCTTTTCATTATCATGTCCTGGTCATAGTTGAATGTCTAAACCATGTCTAGGTGATTCCGTTATAATATGTCAGTGCAATTCGGTTCATTGACTTCCTTACTGGGTATGTCTAATGAATATAACTAACTGAATTGTATAATTGGCGAAATGACATACTTTTTCCCAACATTATAAGTACTATAATTAGTACTGACTGATTGCCCTTGAACCATAACAGAAATTCTTTTAAGTATTTATTCGGTTTACTTTGTCATTTAATCAGCTTGCAGTTATTTGACACAGTTTTAACAATTTTTTTGGAACATTTATGTTCCGCGAATCTTTAAATTCATGCTCATTATGATTGTTTTTAAACCGTCTTATGGCTTTTATTTAAATGTTTAATGTATGAGTAACTGTCTCAAAACGTGATCACATCTCTAAAATCGTCTGTAAGTTTAATCGAAAACAATATATAATTGGGCAATTTGCTATCTTAAAGCGACAATTATCTGACAAATATCACTAATGTTTTATGTATTGTACTGGTTTCTAGGAGTCGCTGAAACAACGGGGTATCAACACGACCCTTATCTAAGCGTTGAATGGAACGCCGTTGATGACCGCTTTTGAAGATTTTATGTTTTTATTTATGCTTTTTATGCCACCGCAGCATCTGCGATGCGGTGGCATATAGCGATTCACCTGTGTGTTTGTTTGTGTGTGTGTGTGTGTGTGTTATATAGATTATATAGTGAACTTAAAAAATCTTCTTGTGAAAAACCAGTAGTCCAATTTCAACCAAACTTGGCAGGATTGATCCTTGGGTGAAGGGCTTCCAAAGTTGTTCAAAGAATTTCGTTCCATGCAGAAATCTGGTTGCCATGGCAACCAAAAGGAATAATAAGAATAAATTAAAAAAATCTTCTTGTAAAGACCCAAAAGGCCTATAGCTTAGATATTTTGCATAAGGTATTGTCTGGTAGACCTCTACCAAGATTGTTCAAATTAAAGCCCAGGGTTCAAAATCGGCCCCGCCCCAGGGGTCATTGATTTTCACTATATGTACATATAGTAAAAACTTAAAATACCTTCTTGTAAAGACCCAAAAGGCCTAGAGCTTAGATATTTTGCATAAGGCATTGTCTGGTAGACCCTTACCAAGATTGCTCAAATTATAGCCCTGGGGTCAAAATCGGCCCCGCCCCGGGGGTCATTGATTTTCACTTTATGTACATATAGTAAAAACTTAAAATACCTTCTTGTAAAGACCCAAAAGGCCTAGAGCTTAGATATTTTGCATAAGGCATTGTCTGGTAGATGCTTACCAAGATTGCTCAAATTATAGCCCTGGGGTCAAAATCGGCCCCGCCCGGGGGGTCATTGATTTTCACTATATGTACATATAGTAAAAACTTAAAATACCTTCTTGTAAACACCCAAAAGGCCTAGAGCTTAGATATTTTGCATAAGGCATTGTCTGGTAGACCTCTACCTAGATTGTTCAAATTATAGCCCTGGGATCAAAATGGCCCTCCCCGGGGGTCATTGGTTTTCCTTATATGTATATAGTAAACACTTATAGTAAAAACTTGTGCAAGTGGTTAGATATTTTGCATGAAACATTGTGAAGTGAACTTCTAGCAAGATTGTTCAAATTATAGCCCTGTGGTCAAAATTGTAAATATAGTAAAAAATCAAAAAATCTTATTGTCTGAAGGTACATGGCTTAGAGCTTTGATATTTGTTAAATGATATCATCTATAGGTACTCTACCAAAAGTTGTTCAAATTTTGCCTCTAGTGTCAAAATTAGCCCCGCCCCCGGGGCCATAGGTTTTCCTTATATGTATATAGTAAAAACTTAAAAAATCATATTCTCTAAATTTTTAATGGCTAGAGTTAAGATATTTTGCATGAAACATTATGTAGTGAACCTCTAGCAAGATTGTACAAATTATAGCCTTGGGGTCAAAATTGGTTCGCCCGGGGGTCATTGTTTTTCATTATTTACATGTAGTAAAAAAATAAAAAAATATTTTTGTCTGAAGGTACAAGGCATAAAGCTTTGATGTCTGCTATATAATATCATCTATAGGTCCTCTACCACAGTTGTTCAAATTTTTCCCCTGGTGTCAAAATTGGCCCTGCCCAGGGGGCAGTGATTCTCATTATGTACACATAGTAAAAACAAAAAATAAAACAAATTAATGTTTTCTGAATAGGAGAAAGCTACAGCTTAGATATTTGACTTGAAATGTTGTTTGGTGGACCTGTATCAAGATTGTTTTGAATTAAACCCTTGGGTCCAAAATTTTGCCTTGCCCGAGGGGACAGTGACCTACTTTCTTGTCCTTTGATGTACAGCAATGAAATTTTGACCATGTGCACAGTTTTAGTTGTAAAATTGAACTTTGATATCAGGTGAATTAGATTTTGATGATGTGACCTACTTTCTTGTCCTTTGATGTACAGCTATGAAATTTGAACCATATGCACAGATTAAGATGTAAAGTGAACTTTGATTTCAGCTGACCTAGATTTTGACAAAGTGTCTTACTATGATGTCCTTTGATGTAGTCATGAAATTTAGGCTGTGTGAAATATGACCTTCATCACCAAATTCACTAGACCTGAGTGCAATGATATATTCCTACTGTGATCTTTTATTGAGTTAACAACAGATTTAACCACTAATCTGGTAATAAGAATTAGATAGGTCAGGGATCTATGCATTATGACAATCTTCAAAATTGAATAGAAACAAAAAAATCTGTTCCTACACTACTATTAAGTGTTGTATTAATGCGGTGGCATAGCATTTTTCTCAAATGCAATCTTGTTTACATTACATTTGTCTGTTTCATACACAACGGGTGCTAATCTTTCAATTATTCTTTGGCAGGTGATGCATATATGGTCGCGTCTGGGTTACCGAAACGAAATGGGGAGAACCACGTGGCGGAAATTGCGGAACTTTCTATTTCCCTGCAAACTGAACGTCTGCTGATACCACACAGAGACAATGAAGCTATACATTTACGTATAGGGTTTAACACTGGTAAGTCAGAGATTTACAATAGCGGTTGACTCTGGTAAGTAAGGGAATTATCTATAGTGTTTAACATATATGGTTTAATTCACATTCAGGGTTGAATACTGGTAAGTCAGGGCTTTGTGTATAGGGTTTAACTCTGGTAAGTCAGGGATTCGCGTAAAAGGTTGAACTCTGGTAAGCCGGGGATTCGCGTAAAGGGTTGTACACTGGTAGGTCAGGGATTTACATATAGGGTTTAACACTGACCAGTAAGTCGGGGATTGAAACGTGTTTTGTTAAAGGTTTAGTAGCATACATTTATTTGTTCTTTTTCATGAACTTTATTGAAATTGTTTTAGACCTCCTGAAATCATCAAGTGTCTTTCCTCAATTCCAAATGCTCCTTTGTTTTGAATAGTCTTTTTATTGTGTCTTTGTTTTGTTTTTATTATCATTATTTGTAGTTGTTTTATCCTTTTTTATGCAAATATTATTCGTAAACTATGATATCAAATAAAATAAAAACTTACCTTTTTGCACTGCATAATAACGTATGAGAAAAATGATCAAGTTTTGTTTTGCTTAAAGCATCGGCTTACCAACAAAGATAAAAAACTGATCTTAAAATAATTGTTTTAAGGAAAACCTTTATGCTGATTCCATCAAACAAATACATCAATCAAACTTATCGACATACCTTATTGACACTGATAAAAGACATTGAAAGAACATTTGATATCATATTTTTGCAATTAATGACAAATCCGACCTTGATTTATATGCTAAGTATCTATTTCATAGAGTGTTTAAAGCGTAGTTAAGAACCATCAGCTTACGTACGTATATAATTCTTTTAGCAGTCGAAAACAAGCAACAATATCTGGTGATTACGGTAGTAATGATTTGCGTCGAACGGGTTAGACCTAACTGGGCATATATGATCGGTATTAGAAATGTAGGCTTAATTAAAAACTTATAAACCCAATTCTCGTCATTATGATGGAAAAAAAATCAATGTGCAAATCTAATTTTTTTCTAGATGTAATTAATAGCTATTTGTACTTCACAACCTTTGAAAATCAGTACAATTAGAATGTTTTTGGTTTATAGTACATTTATTTCTTTACTTGCAATCTATTTTTATGGCGTTTCACGTTAAGACGGACATATTTTGTATCAGTAAAAGTGCTTAGTTGAAGGGTTTTGTGTCTAAAGATCGACAGCCAAACACCGACACGACTTAAAGCCGACTTTTCAAAAGCGGTTTGTCGATAGTCGTCGGTTATTTTGTTGGGTCTTTTGTCTTGTCGGTCTTTGGTTGCAATGCCTTAGTTCTTATTTCTTTCTTTAAAAAAAAAAAAAAAAAAAAAAGAATTTTCAAGTAATAAAGTTGCAAAAGTTTCAACAAAATATTTTTGTAAATTATCCATGAATACTTGTCCTAAAATATATACATGTATTACAAAAACCAAAAACCAACCCATAAATAAACAGTATTTTCGTACCAGTTAGATACTGTGTATTGCATATCCTTAACGTGATATAAATTACCGTTGTTTTTAAGTACATCTACTCCATGTGACCGAAAAGAAAATTATACAACTTGAATTTCATTGATAAAGTGTTGAATTTCATTGATAAAGTGCTCGGCAGCAAAATGTGCTCGTAGTTGTACTAGCTATACTTCATTGAATTGCGTCGACTTGCAATAAATGCTACCATGATTCCGTTTCTACAGTGTTTACTGTCTTCCCGTTCAATCACTTACTGAATGGCCTTGCGTAACACACCTTAAATGCTAATTCTGACAATTATTAGCAAAACAAAAACAACTTGTAACAAAGTTTCTTCGTCATGAGAGTGTGTTAGAATTTCGATCAAATATCGGAAAATTGGAAAATGAAGAGTTCTTTTATTGTCCTTAACCACTTCCATCATCTTAAGGTGTTGGAAATGCATCTGAGAATGGTAAAGAACATGTCGATTTTAGCTCAAACTTTAACCTTGATAATAACTTCTTAAGTTATAAGTGTGTTGTCTTCATGCTTGGCCACAGCAACCCTTGGGACAAGACCTTTAATAAGATCAGACTTGACCATCATTCATAATTTACCTTGACCTGCAAGGTCAAATGTCTAAATTTTACTTAAATTTTGCCGACTTCTGCTATTAATGAACGGATTGTCCTCAAACTTGAACATAACAATCTTCAAGGACAGACCTTAACGTTACCCAGACAGACCTTTACTTTCACAAACAAAGGGAGACACAGGCAAAATTTTCATTTCTTAGTTTTGAAATTTTCATTCATTATTCTGTAAATGTCCTCAAAATGAATACACTAAACAGTCAAAGGAACAAAACTTTTCTCCATATAAAGAATAAAATGGTGTTTTCCTAACTTGACCCGCGTGGGTCAGGTTAGAGCGCTAAAATTTCACAATGGTTGTCACTCTGTACTCTGGAAACGTTAAAAAACATGTCAAATCAATTACTAAGACTTGTTTTAATCATACAATATCCACAATATTTGTTATTGTAACTTCCAGGGTTTGTTCAAATTGCATGACTTGTTTTTAAACTATTCGGTGATTCTGTTCGCGTCAAAATTTCGTTCAACATATATAGATATATTTTAACTTCAAACCCAAAATATATAGAATTTATACAGAAATTCATGTTGGGACTTTAAGAAATGTCATTTTAGGGTGATTTGAGTACAGAAAATCATTTTTATATTTTTGCCATTATTTTGCCTGAGTATCCCTTTAATGAACTTGACCTTTAAGGCCAAATTATCGAGTTTTTGTTTTTTGTTTGTTTGTTTTTTTGTTTTTGGGGGTTTTTTGTTGTTGTTTTTTTTTTTGTAACTGGTTATAACTTTCTTATCAGTGAATGGATTAATTTCATTTGTAGTCAAAACATTGCTTATTTTAAGACCTTCATGAATGAGAGACTCAAATTGACATTGGCTCATTGGTGACCTTGACCTTGAAGGTTAAATTATTAAATTTTCGCTGTAATTATCTGTAACTTGGTCTATCTTCATACATAAACAAAACAACCTTTTGGACAAAACCTTCTATAAGGTTGAACTGACCTTGACCTTGAGTGTTAAATGACCTTGACCATTTAGGTCAAATTGTTGAATTTTGGTTAAGTTTGTGTGGATTTGATTTAAACGTGGACAAAACAAGACTTGATAACCAACAACATTTTGAATAATTTAGATGTGACCTTAATCTAAAATTGACCTTGACCGTCAAGGTCAAATTAATGAAATTCTCTTGTACTTGTTTGTAACTGGCTCTATCTTTATAATTCATAAATGGATTAACTTCATATAAAGCCGAAAAATTCTTAAGGACATGACCTTTATATACATTAAACTCAAATTGACCTTGACTTATTATGGACTTGACTAAAATGGTTAAATTATTGAATTTCCACCAATTTTTTTCTATTATTGACTGAAACTTGATAATTGATAAATGGATTATCTTCATTTTTGGACAAAACAACCGTTTGGACAAGACCTTCTTAAAGATTTAACTGACCTTAAACTAGAGCTTTAAATGACCTTGCCAATCAAGTTTAAATTATTGAATTTTGGTTAAAGTGTCATAATTTTGTTATTTACGTACGAATTTGATTTATACTTGGACAACACAAGACTTTCTACTAATGATTCAGGTGTGACCATCTATGATTGACCTTGACCGTCAAGGTCAAATTAATAAAATTCGCTTATTTTATCCTTTAACTATTAAGTATGACCATGGGCATAGTTTAAGGTGAAAATTGAAGTTTAATTGCAGCTGACCTAGATTTTGACCTAGTGACCTTATTTCTTATCCTTTGATGTACAGCTTCGAAATTTGAACAATGTGCATAGTTTTAGATGTAAAATTGAACTTTGATATCAGCTGAGTGGCTTGGTAGGAGAAGGGGGAAAGTACTAGACTAACCCATTCAACAATACCACCAGTGTGATGTTTTATACATGGGTATGCTAGTTCTTAAAAAAAATAAACAGAAATTTTCTCTGGTTACAGGTCCATGTGTTGCCGGTGTTGTCGGTATAAGAATGCCCAGGTATTGTATATTTGGAGACACTGTCAATACTGCATCCAGAATGGAATCAACCGGCTTACGTAAGTTTTGAATAATATTATTCAGCTAGAAATTAAGGTTGATTACTTATTTCTCTTTTTCGTTGGAATTTACGTTGCACCAACACAGTGAAGGTCATGTGGCGACTTTCCAGATCTACTAGTTGAGAAAAATCTCAGGTGCTCTTCCATGCATTATATTTTAGGCACAAAAGGGCAACTGAATAGAACCACCGACGTTCCGTAAGCTACTTGAATAACTTCTTCGTGGAAAAATCCAATGTCCATGTGACGGGGGTTCTTACCCATAGCGGTGAGGGGCAAATGGATTGAAGCGAACGATCTTAGATACTTGGCCACGGACGTTCGTCAATTTTACAGCCGCTTAGTATTTCATTAAAGCAAAATTGGATTTTTTTGACTCCTTATATAATTGTTATACCAAGTTATTGGACAATCAACTAACATTAAGATTTATTAAACATTCGCCGTCAATGTTCCGTATCTTTTTAAAAAAAGTACTTTTTTAAATTGTACATTACAATATTGTTCTTTGTTAAACATTTATGTATTTATTTCTGATATGAGTTATAATAACTGTACAAAGTGACGTCACAGATAATAAAATTGATCCATAGAATATTGACTGCATTTAGTAATTTCTCGTGCGTATATTCCAGCTTTTAAAATACAGATGACACAATCAAGCGCTGACAAATTATTACGTTTGGGACGCTTCATAATTTCAAAAAGAGGAGAAGTTGTTGTCAAGGTATTGTATTATTGCAGTCCTGTGAAGAAGTTGTTATATATCTCTGGTGTATTCCAATGCTTTAATTTGTTGAAGATTAAATATAACTTCAGTCGGTGCTATGGGACGTAAAATATGTCGCTCTCAATCAAACCATTCTGCAATATTCAATTTTAAACTTCATTTTCATTACTCTCAAGCGCTACAGCTATTTTATGAACTATTTAAATCATGGCGTTGAAGTCATGTTGTCGTTTATTAACCTATTTTCATACTGTATCTAGGGACAACAAGTATCTTATACAATATGGAAGGAAGGGTGGCATTTAATGAACGCGTTCCTACCAGCAAAGAAATAGCGAAAGTAATTATGAACTTCACCGAACACTGTTATACACAGTTTTACATCCCACAAAGTTTAATTGGACATAACGCCATAATTAAATGCCTGTTTCAAGAAAAAAGTTTGAAAATAATGCAAATGATTCGAAATTTTAAAAATATGTACTTATTAAAGATGAATATATAAATGTACAAACTTGTAAGATATCATTTTTTATTCATAATAACTGTATGTGAACATTACTTTGCATTTCAGGGCAAAGGTGTCATGGTTACTTATTGGCTGGAGGGAAAGGCTTTACCATAACTATCCATAACAAGACTGAATAACCATCCGTAACGAGTTATGATAACCATCCATAACAAGCCAGAAAAAAAAAACATCCATAACAAGTCATAATAACCATCCTTAACAAGCCAGAAAAAGACCGCAAGAAGTTAGAAGAACCATCCATAACAATACAGAATATCAATCCATTATAAGTCAGAATAGCTATCCATAACAAATCAGAATAACCATCCATTACAAGTCAGAATAGCCATCCATAACAAATCAGTATAACCATCCATTACAAGTCAGAATAGACATCCATAACAAATTAGAATAACCATCCATAACAAGCCAGAAAAAAAAACATCCATTACAGGTCAGAATAACCATCCATAACAAGACAGAATAACCATCGGTAACAAGTCAGAATAACTATCAATAACAAGCCAGAAAAGCTGAATAAAACTAAACTTGGAGACGACTATGAACGTATATTTTAGCCTTGTGTCAGACATGTGAATTAAAGGGACTTATATCAAATCAACGAACTTCTGTAAATATATAGTAGACTATGTGCCTATATTGTTACTTCATTTGATTCGTCCGCGTATTGTTATTTCAGGGGATTGATATGGTTGTATGCAGCCATTTTGACTCAGCTGGATGCTTGTCCATATTTGAATTTAGGTGATGTCAGGTCAATGTGACGTAAGTGGATACATGGGCACATTTATGTAAACGTATCAGTTGATGTGCACATATTCTAGAATCATCTTCTAATGCATGCACATGAGAATACCGGAAGTTGTGCGCACATGAACAGCTTATTCTGTGCATACTTTGACAACAGTGCAGTGTATACGTGCGCACATATCCGTATTTGTTTGCATATTTTTTGTACGAGAGGCTATGTTTACCTAAAAGCATCATCGTTTTCTAAACTCACATTATGACGTCAGCACATTAATTATCGTTGTCGTCACTATTATCATGATGTCATATACTTCAAATAATTCATTTACCTTTAATGTTCGTTAGCCATTCCATTGCATCCAAAGATCAATTGTTTCGTCTGTGTTACACGAAATATATGAATTTGTCGGGAAAATAAAATGTGCTCAAAGTATATTTAGAGAAGATTTTATCTGTAATATTGTACTTATATGATTATGTAATAAATGTGCCTTTTGTCACTTATTGATGATTGTTTAGATGGCGTAGTTCATAAATCCGTATCGACCAAAAAAGATTTTATTTTCTTATTTTTCTTTCCTTTTATAGGTTGGTTATTTTTACATTATTCAGACCGAATTTCCTTTGTAATGGGGGTATACTGGAATCAGCTTGTCCGTCCGGCCGTCCGGCTGCTTGTCCGCCCAATAACTTAAGAATCCTTTGACCCACAAACTTCATATTTGGCATGGAGGTTTGTCACGATTAGTGGATGACCCCTATTGATTTTGAGGTCACCATGTCAAAGGTCAAGGTCACAGAAGCATTGACTTCAAAAAGCTTGTCCGCCCAATAACTAAAGAATCTTTTGACCCACAGTCTTCATATTTGGCATAGTGGTTAGTCACGATTAGTAGATGACCCCTATTGATTTTGAGGTCACCAGGTCAAAGGTCAAGGTCAAAGGGGCATTGACTTCAAAAAGCTTGTCCGCCCAATAACTTAAGAATCCATTTTCCCACAGTCTTCATATTTGGCCTGAAGGTAGTCACGATTAGCGGATGACCCCTATCGATTTTGAGGTCAAAGGTCAAGGTCACAGTGGCATTGACTTCAAAAAAACTTGTCCGCCCAATAACTTAAGAATCCTTTGACCCACAGACTTCATATTTGGCATGGAAGTTAGTCACGATTAGTAGATGACCTCTACCGAATTTGAGGTCACCAGGTCAAAGTTCAAACACAGGGGCCTTGACTTCAAAAAGCTTGTTGCCCAATAACTTAAAAATCCTTTGACCCACAGTCTTCATATTTGGCATGGAGGTTGATCATGACCATAAAGTGACCCCTATTGATTGAAGTCACTGGGTCAAAGGTCAAGGGGGCCTTGACTAAAAAAAGCTTGTCCGCTCAATTGTTTTAGAATGCTTTGGTCAACAGTCTTCATATTTGGTATTGAGGTTGTTTATTACTAGTAGATGACCTCTTTTGATTTTAAGGTGACTGTGTCAAGGTCACAGGGATTTTACTTTAATAAGCTTGTCTGCTCAAATGCTTAAGAATGTCTGTCCGCAGTTTATTGATTTTGACATTTTCACATTTGAAGCATGTAGAATAAATAACTTAGAATACATAACTTAGCAATGCACTGGCTTAGCAACCTCAGATTTTGAAGGGAGGTTGTCTTTGAGCTCTCAATGGTCACTGTTGATTCTGACAAAGTGGTATGCGGGGGTATACACGCCATGACAGTGGCAGTTCTAGTTAAGTTCTAATCCCCAATCTTAGAGAACTCGGGTCAAGTGACCGCTCGTGTCCAAAAATAATGCTCGGTAGGAGACATTCAAAACCAAACCAAACAAGTTTGTTTTTCTGTCCATTGCAAGCTTTGTATATTCAGGTCATTTCTTTCTGTTGATATGTAATAGAAAGAGCATCGAAGCACGAAGCTATCTAATTTGTACGAGGGGGCGTAGCCCCCCGAGTATTAATCAGATTGCCGAGTGTTTTGATGCTCTTTCTGTCAAACATAAAACACGTTCCCTGTTGTCACAATATGAAACCCCAGAAAAAAGTAACCAATGAACGAGCATCTGAATGATAATTATGATATTTCTATCGCTTTCCCTTTCTCTGCCGTCACAATATGTAAACCCCGGACAAAATGAACCAATCAATGGGCATGCTCTGCAGTGCGGGTAACTAATACCTGCACTCCAGTTAACGCACTGTGCATGTATATGTATTAGCCTGGGTTACCTGCCCTTACCATTTCATTATCTTGTGCAGAGTACGCTGGGAACCAGATTAGTATATGTATACGATTTAACTCGTTCACATTTTCAACAGCAAGGTCCCCAAACTATGATACAAGATATATTTAATTGACAGTATGTATTGCATTGACAGTTTTGTTTTTCCATTAACGGACTATATTAGAATTATGTAACTGCATTACGTTACTCTATTAGAATCACGTAAATCCATTAGTTTCGTAATGATTACTTTCTGTAAATAAAGTTCATTTGACGTGTAATTAGGCCAGTCAGATTTGACATATAAATAAATCAATTTAACTTGACATATATATAAACCAATCATTTGCAAGTTATTGTGCTAACAAATTTGCTCTTTACATATATATGCGATAGCACCGAAAGAAAAATGAGGTGTTTTTACAGAAGACCGGTGGTGAAATCTTTGCTTCACGAACTTCACAAAAAATTCACGATTTAAACTTCAAGAGTTGATTATTTAAACTTGAAAATTCACGATTTAAACTCCTAGAGTTGATTATTAAAACTCATGCATACACGATTTTATGTTTTATTAATTTACTATCAAGAATTCGTGAAATTGAAATCACGAATTCGTGAAGTTAAACTTATGAATTCATGAAGTGTAAATGTTCGTATCGGTCTTCCGTATATTTGACCGATTTCCATTTATGGTGTCGTTATAACTTTTGTACTGTTAACGGCAGATATTTAGAGCCTTATTATCGAGAATAATGATAAATATATTAACGGCTGTTCATCTGTTTTAGTCATATTACATATTAGTGAAAATCATATACCACTGAGAAGAAAGTGAATAAGGTCAACCAATCGAAGCTCAGCAGGCGCTGAATTTGTTTGGGTCTCAAAATGTCAGAAAGGTGAAGGTTGTGAGATTATAAACCAATTTGTTTTTTTATAGTGCCACCAATGCTTTCCAGTGTTTTAACTGTAGTAAATTGTCTATAAGACTTATTGCAACACTGATATTCAATTCAATGTTTATTTGACTTAAATTTTTTTTAAAAAATGAGTTGCCTCAACTGGGATTTGAAATCCAGACATCTAGATTCCTAAGCGAGCGTACAAACCCCTCGGCCACGGTGAAGTTATATGTTAACGGCCTGAAGAAAACCATATTATTCTAAATTAGGGTTTGTAGCTCTTATTATTTCGACGCTAAACCTGTTGTTTAACACATATGTAAATAATCATGGAGCTTACTATAAGCATGTATATCTATAAAGAATAAAACAATATTAGAAATCTTCGACCATTTGGGAACTATTTTGCTTGAAAATTAATGCGCCTGTCATTTGACAATCTTTATGCAGTGATCTCTCCTGAATTTTTCGGCGTTAGTGTACATATAAAGGGAAGTAACCGCTTCAAAAAGCGGACTACTTTCGGCATGTGCAATTAACAGCATCAGGGTCTGAAATTTCGCTACCATTATTTATTTGGTCTGACGACCCAAACAAATAAAAACTGACTTTGGTTTTCCCTCCCGCGATTAAAGCCGGTTAAGGTAGGGTATGGAAGATATGGTAAAAAAAGAAGAAATATACCTGTAAAGATGATTGGTTAGCATATGTACACAGTTTAGAACCAAATATGTTAAGCTTAATTCAAATGTACATCTGAGTTTTTATACATGTGTATTTACAAAGCAAAATAAAAAATATATAAAAAGAAAACAAAAACAATCGATTCTCATGGAATACAATTATTTTTTTAAAATACCCATTCAGACAAGTGGTGACAAACATATAAAATACCTTACAGAGAAGTCGAGGATATAGAATATAATACATTATTTAATATAAAACATAGTTAGTAATGTTTATAAATATTTATAAGTGACAATATGCCCATCAATGTGTATATGTTGAGTAAAAATACTTTTTTCTTACTTTTTAACATAATTATAATTCTACTTTGCGTGAATAAACAATAACCCACGTGACTCGTGGGAAATTTTATAAATATCCTTCAAAATATATATATAAGTAAAATCTCTAACTTGCCGTATATAAGCAAAAGCGCTAATTCAAATGTGCCGTAGTTTCGGCCTTGCGGCCTTCTTCAACAGCATTTATTTTACATACATTTATTTTGCATTATTTAGTATACAACATAGTGAGTAATGTTTATACATATATAGTAGATAAAAAGAGAAGAGTTTTTTTTATAATATAGACATTTTTACATGTTTTATCCTTAACATTTTCTTTAAAAGATTCTTTGGTAAATTTGGACTCTTTGGATTCTTTGGACCATTACCATTATAAAAGTTAGACTTTTAAATATAAAATTAACTAATGACAACGAAAGCTTGAGCATAATGTGACTTGCTTATAGAAGGGAGACAAACCAGTAATAACTTCACTGATTCATCAAATAATTATATTGGCAAATGATAGTCTCCATCTATATTAACAAATTGTGCATCTTTATGAAAAAAATCACATCGTACACGTATGTAAAACGTTTTTCTTGGAATAAAAAACTCATAATTGTATATGTAGCAGTTCATACAGAATTTGAAATGCATAACTCATAATAATTATTGTACATGTAGCAGATGGCATTTTAATAGTTTTATTAAACTAAAATTTTGTACGTCACAGGAATTGGAGGATTTGGAAATTACGGAGTTCTATAAAATATTCAAATAAAAAAGTTATTTCACGCATTTTATACGCACCGGTCTCAAATATCGGTCAGTAAGACCGGTGTTCACAATGCAGAATGGCTTGATTTTGGTCACGCATTTGAACAAACAAAAAAGTACACAACAACAAATTTTCAACAATTTTGTGAAATGCATATATACCGGTACACACGTTTATACAAATGTTATGGCACAGATTTATGGAAAAAAATAGCGGTCGATGCACATTTGGCAATTTTAACAGACAAAGTCGCATTACAATGATATCAAATATTAAATAAATCTTTTATTATGTGCATTATATTTAATGTTGCATACTTTAATCGTTAATGTTTAAGTTATGCTATGATGTCTACTTAATTCTTGGATAACAAAGAAAAAGGGTTACTGGTGCTGTTCGACGTAGGACTCATCTCACTGTGAAACAATGGTGGAAGGGGATTTAGTGTACAATATGAAAAACAAGATCAACAAGGAAAGGCGGCGTTCAATGAACGCAACCCCCATATGACCCAGCAACAAGAACAATATTGAAATGACATTTGATACATCATGTGCAGTTAGCCTTTGAGCTTATAAATTACTTAACTGTTCTTCCTAGAGACTGCAATGAATTTGTGTTATTTTTGTGCTATTCATGGTGTGTTGGTGTGCATGTCATGTTTTTTGCTCATGTTTGTGTTAAGTTATGTGTTATATTACCATGTATGTAAATTATGCTAAAATAAATCTTATCTAATCTTATCTTAGCCCCTTACCCTTACCACCCTAACCTCCACCCCAACAAAGAAAATGAAAATTGAAAAGTTATCGGTTGTTTCTACAGCAGATATATACAGACTGCGCTCATTTTGAAACTCTTTTTAAAGTCTATTCATCTCACGACGACGGCGTGGCTGGCTGTAAAAAGGCTGTGTTTCTTATTAACACCCCAAAGTAATGCTGAAAACGAACGCGTCAATTAAACCAATGTTTATCCTTACATCACAAGATATGATGTTTATTTGGCAGACATAATAAAAGTAACAAGAAAGAAACAATACAGCGATCTAATTTTACATCGTCACAACTTATTCTATACTAGTAGACAAGTACAAAAAAGGGAAATTTTGATTTCAAGTAAGCTACATCTACAAAACAAATCGTCTGTCAAACAGGAAACACGTTCTGTGTAAACCAATTAGTTATAATGACTGGCAAACATGGTTAGAAAGTTAATTTATGTCGTTATTGTACAATTGCAATTAATTAGCCATACATCATGTTAAATGATATTGATATATTGTGTATGTCTACTTAAATGCCTATTTACTTGACCACAAACATTGGACAATGCTACGTGCGACAAATGTATATGTAGCTATTTAAAGGGAAAAAACATACAAGACTTAAACGTTACGAACATTTTAACTTTATGCTAAAAACTCAACTGCACATGCGCATTGTCCGACGTCACTGCAAGATTGATATCTGAAATATTATTTACAAAACAAGTTAACAACTGGTCTATGGATCTAAGTTACCTGAAATACTGCGTGTTAAAATCGACTTTTTGTTATAAATTTGTGTTATCAGTCCAAACTCTATCTTCTTCAATAAACTCGGAAGAGTCATATAAGATAACAAATAAATTTGATGGGAATTAAAATGAAATACAATATATAATATGCATGTATCAATGAAAATATTTCTGGGATTAAAGGCCTATTAAGCAATTTTGTTTACAATTTGCAACTTTTAGAACAAGTTATTTTATATCAAGGACCACTTCCTTCGCATAATCAGCATCTAACATTATCTAAACCCACTATTGTAAATAAATAAAAAACAACACATTTTTCGTTTTCTTAAGAGGAAAATTATACATTAAGTCATTTCTGTTTTGTTTTTTTCTGTTTTTATTATTATCATCATTATTATTATTCTAAAATGTCATTCTTGAAAGGATACATACGTTAATAATATGACGGATTTATGATTTCATTATGTACTGGGTTCCATAGAAAAAATAATATTTTAAGTGGCATTATGCCCATCCAAGTGTAAATGGTGAATGTCAAAATAACTTCAAAACTTGCCATTGTTGTTTTCAATTTTATACTGTACTTTACATGTTTGATCAATTACCCTCTATATTATATCGGTGAATTTCAATTTATAAAATGAGTGAGGCAGTCTTTTTATAGTTTAGGCAGTTTTTAAAATTTTACCCTAAATATTTTATAATCAAGCATTGGTCAATAGCTATTATAATAGTCAATCTTTTGAAATATACAGTTGATCAGCGAAAATTGATCATAATGTAACTTTTTGCCCAAACAAACACATTATTGACAAAAGAGACGAGTTTTTAGCACAATACAATGTACCTGTTTATTTTATCTCTCCTTATCAAAGCTATGTATTACCATATATTTTGTTATTGTTAGTATGTTCTAGCCATATCTATTTGTTTGCAACAATAAAAAAGATTTTTTTTTGTTTCATTTTGAAAAAAAAAACAACTGAGTATATAAAAATGTAGAGTAATTTATATGCCAGTAAAGAATGACTTGAAAAAAATTTGGGGCTAATTATGATTCAGCAACTTACGGTACAAAATAAACAATTTTTTTCAGTAATTAGGTACAACCCAAAATTTATGTTAAACACATGTAAACAACAATATTAGTGATCAATAACAAATAACGAGGAAATGACAAGGCCATCAACATAAATAAACAATGTGAAGCATCTATAAAAAGGCGCTGATTTGATCAGAATGTTATAGTTTTCAACAAGACGCAACTATGAATAAGACTTTGGCAATTTTGGCGGCATGTGCGGTCTTTTTAGGACTTGTGTACTTAGCTGAGGGTAAGTTTCTTTTATATAATTTTCAAAATCGTCATTTCGGAACGCGTTGTTTAGATATTCTGTGATGTAGCTAAGACTAGAAAATATATATTTGCATTTTGAACTTATCTTTATCATATTTTTTACCATAATTTGTATCATATGTTTTTGCCAATGGCATTAATTGTATATGTTGATGCCAGTTGGTTTGAGCTGAGTTATGTTCTACTGAAACCGGTTCTGCAATGTTTATGTAACTTATATTTATGATATTTTTTAACCATAATCTGTATCATATGTTTTGGCCAATGACATTAATTGTATATGTTGATGCCAATTGGTTTGAACCAAGTTGAGTTATGTATATATACTCTGCATTTTTTTTGTATTTTTTGTTTAATGCTTTCGAGGGATCATTCTTTCTCAAGATTTTCAGATACATGTTGTCTTAAACAGTCGTCATTTATATCGCAAATATAGACAAATCAAGTTAATCTTTTTTTCTTTTTTGTATGTGATATTTTGAGTTTTTTGTTATATTATGTGTGGACGTTTGCCAATCCTGCACATATTGATCACTTATTTTCCTTTGAACATAATTAAAAGTACTTAAATAAACATAAAAAATAATTTTTCAGTTTTTACTAATATTTCAATGATCTTTCCAATGCTGTGACAAAGTGATCTTCGTTGGTTGAACATACGAACTATTCCATTTAATTTCATGCTATCATAGTAAGTCTCGCACCGTGAAGTGTCCGATTTTTTTTTCTAACGTTCTCAACTTCTTATAAATACAAATGTTTTGGCTTTCATCTGGGTTTTGTCCAAGCTTCCATCTAAAAGAAAAACGAAACGTGAATATCAAAATATCATCTTTTCATACAACATTCTATACTTTTTTAAAGAAATGAAATATTTATATTTTAAGTATATAGGTATTTTAACATTTATTTTAAAACGCCTTTAAAATTAAATGACTTTCCTGGCATTTGAATCTATGATTCGATGAAACTACCAAAAATTGTAGACTGGAATGTCCTTTAAAGTCTGCAACTTCGTAGAATCTACATTGATGACAAATTTCATTACTCATACCTTTGTCTATAGACAAAAAAAAACATTAAAATCATTCGAATTGATGTATAACCAAGCAAACTAAACAGTATACATTATTTAAATTCATGACGAAAGATGGTTATTTTGATGTCATAATTTTTCATTGCCACATTTGAGAGCACAACGCTTGCTCGATGATCTGCGACAGCTAAATATCCTTGTTAAAATTCCAGGGCAGGGCGATTTTAGCAACTTTGGCGGAGGCGGCGGTTACCCATATCCTGGCGGCGGCGGTTACCCTGGATATCCTGGTGGAGGCGGATTTCCTGGTCATGGAGGCGGCCATTTCCCTGGCGGCGGTGGTTATTGTACATGTAGACGGTAAGAAATCGCTTTGCGATATTTCAACTTAAAAAAATCAAATTTCCAAAGAAATTAGTCCAGAAGCCACTCTTTATTATCTGTTATAATTTTAGAGTCCTTTTAAATGTTTCACCATAAAGTCGAGGTGGCGATTAATCTAACTTTCCTCTTTGTATGTGAAAATCGAATTTATGAATGACTTACATGTCTGCAGTGTACTGCTACAAAGTCTTATTAAAAGTTTTGTTGTTAAACAATCAGATATTGCTTCCGTGGTGAAAGATACTCCGGCAGATGTCGTCCACCATGGAGAAGACGCCACTGGGGAGGTTTCAGACGTAGACTTGTTAGATGTTGTCCGATATATGGGCCCTATCAAGGTAATGCAATTAGCAGCTTCTTTTTAGTCCCCTACCGGTTTACCGGAGGGGACTTTAGGTTTACACTTTGTCCGTCTGTCCGTCTGTCTCTGTCTGTCTGTCCGTCCGTCAGTCCGTCCGTCCACAAAACTGGATCCCGCGATAACTTGATAAGTACTGAAAATATTTTTTTGAAACTTGATATATAGATAGATGGCAGTATGGAGATTATGCACGTCTTTTTCTTTTCTTCCTATGTTGAAAATTCTGGTCGCTATGGCAACAAACACGCTGAAAAGATGGCAAATTTTACACATAAACTGGATCCAGTGACAACGCAAAAAGGACTGGAAATATTTTTATGAAACTTGAAATATGGGTAGATAGCAGTCTGGAGATTATGCACGTCTTTTTCTTTTCTTCCTATGTTGAAAATTCTGGTTGCTATGGCAACAAATACGCTGAAAAGATGGCAAATTTTACACATAAACTGGATCCAGTGTTAACGCAAAAAGTAATAGAAATATTTTAATGAAACTTGTAATATGGGTAGATGGCAGTCTGGAGATTATGCGCGTCTTTTTCTTTTCTTCCTATGTTGAAAATTCTGGTTGCTATGGCAACACATAGACTGAAAATATGGCAAATTTTACACATAAACTGAATACAGTGATAACTCAAAAAGTACTGAAAATATTTTTATGAAACTTGACATATGGGTAGATGGCAGCCTGTAGATTATGCATGTCTTATCTTTTCTTCCTATTTTGAAAAAAATATTGGTTGCCTTGGCAACAAATATGCTAAAACCATGGCAAATATAACACTATTTGTGATTAAGTCAAAAAGACCTGAAAATTTTATGAAATTGCATCTTTAATTCAAGAGTTATCTCCTCTTTAAGAATTTTGCTTTTAAAAATTTTATATTTTGGTAACAGGGATGTTTAAAATATTAACTTTAGAGTGTCCTTCAGTCCGTCTGTCTGTCTGTTCATAAAAACTGTTTCCTGTGATCACTTTTAAAGAACTTTTCCAACAAATTTACTTAAAATAGAGAAAAATTGAAACATTAGTGAATGGCCAAATGCCCTTCAGAATGTTGATTGGGTTCTAACCGGTAGGGGACTTATGGATTGCCTGCAATACTATGATAATTGCTTGTTATATAAATTTTGCTTTTTCTCTGAGCTGTGGGAACGTTTTATACCTGACCAACAAATTAGTATTTCCTTTCAAATATTATAAGCGGAATATATTTATTTATTTATTTATTGTAGTAAGTAAAACAGTTCATTATTAATGTGTAAATAATTATTATTATTTGCTCACTGTAAAGTCTGCTTGCGTTTTGTATCTGTATAATCATTTAAACTCTTGCAATACTGTATTTGTGTAAAAGGGACTTTTCTGCTTATAGTTTGTACACAGTCTATCAGTGTCTGTATAATTATTTAAACTCTTGCAATACTGTATTTGTGTAAAAGTGACTGTTCTGCTATAGTTTGGACACAGTCTATTAGTATCTGTATAATCAAACTCTTGCAATACTGTTTTTTGTGTAAAAGGGACTGGTTCTGCTGAAAGTTTGGGCACAGCCTATCCGTAGAATAATGGTTTTCGTTGTCAAAATTTGAAATAAAGCAACCAAACAGTATAACATCCGATCAGACACAATACCGATCTGAAACATTACCGATCAGACTCACTCGCTGTTCAAGTTTAAAACCCGTGGCCTACTGGTGGCAACAGATTCTACCATTGCGATCAGTGCAGACCAAGATAGACCGACACATCCGTACCGTCTGACCATGGTCTGCACTGTTCGCTATTTGTTCAGTATTCATTTTTTTAGGTCCCTAAAAATGTTTAATGGTTATGTCCAGATCGAAAGACGGACTATTTAAGTCCATTTAAGATATTAAGTGTGGTAAGAGTTAAATATCTATGAACGTCAATTTGGTAGGTAGTTGGATATTCGAATACTGAAGGGATTCAATTAATATTCATAGAATTTTCTCATTTATAATGCTGATATTAACATTTCAGGTTGATTACGAAACTATACGTGTGCAGAACAACTATACTCATCTTGTAATATCGAGTGGAATAAAATGATTTTGAATGTAATTTCTTTTGTAATAAAGCCAGAGAAAAATGAATATGTGTCTTATACATAAAAGATCTAATAGAAAAAAAATAGAGTAATCGTTGACTTTCATACCTTTTCGTACAACGGCCTGAACAATTTCTATATGTTCAGTTGCAGTAAAATCTTTGCTTCTCTCGTCTTTGTCCCTACCGTCTCTATTTCCAACACAGTTTTCTGTATGTTCAGCTGCATTTAAATCTTTGTTGCCCTTAGCTTTGTCATTACCGTCTCTATCCCCATCGCAGTTTTCTGTATGTTCAGCTGCAGTTAATCTGTGTTGCCCTCATCTTTGTCGTTACCGTCTCTATCTCCATCGTAGTTTTCTTTTCGTTCAGCTGCAGTTAAATCTTTGTTGCCTTCATCTTTGTCGTTACCGTCTCTATCTCCATCACAGTTTTCTGTATGTTCAGCTGCAGTTAAATCTTTGTTGCCCTCATCTTTGTCGTTACCGTCTCTTTCTCCATCGCAGTTTTCTTTTTGTTCAGCTGCAGTTAAATCTTTGTTGCCCTCATCTTTGTCGTTATCGTCTCCATATCCATCGCAGTTTTCTTTTTGTTCAGCTGCAGTTAAATCTTTGTTGCCCTCATCTTTGTCGTAACCGTCTCTATCTCCAACGCAATTTTCTTTTTGTTCAGCTGCAGTTAAATCTGTGTTGCTTTCATCTTTGTACTCATTGCCTCTATCTACAACGAAGTTTTCTTTACGTTCAATTACAGGTAAATGTTTGTTGCTCTCATTTTTGTCCTTACCTTCTCTACCTACAACGTGGACTGGTCTACTTTTTGATATCATAAAGTCTTTACGAGAAATTTTATGAAAACTTCCAAGACCTCTTGATGCAAAAATAAGCTCACTTAATTGTTGATCTGGTATGAATTCGTAGAAGCAAATCTTGTTAGAACCTTTTGCTTCCGTTATGGTCTTTTCAACACGTTTTAACTCGTTTTTGACAAAACGTGAGAACATAAATAATGTCTGATCAACTTCTTGCAGCGTGCCTAAAGTTTGCTTGTATTCTTCGATTTCTGTATATATCTGTTTTAAGTTTTCAACTGAAATATCATTTTCTGATCGTATCTTTCTTGCAAACGATAAACTGTCCGCTTGTGCTTTGTCTAGGTAAGAATCTGCGCGTTTTCGAATCGCATTGACATCACCTACTAGTTTATCGTTTATTTCATTATTACACCATGTATTCTTTTTCATATGTTTTGTCATGGACGATTTTAGAGTTTCAAGTTTTTCAATCAAATTTTGAAATTCTTCTGTTTTACCGAAGTTCACTGTTGCATCATTTATATATTCGGACTGACAAGTATTATGTCCATCAAATAGCATGCAATCACCACAGCCTGTTTCATCATGCTTCCGACAGTAAAACCGGATTGATTCGTTTTCGTGTTTTTCACATTTGCCTAAATCAATCGTACTTGTGAGTACACGTTCAACGTCCGTTACTTCTACTAATACATGTTTTCTACAATACTTTGCCTTTAAGTGATGTTGGAAGCACGTTTGACACATTAATTCCTTACATTCTCGGCAAAATCCATCCGCATTCGTAAATATATTTTCCTCATGACACGGATAACATGGTTTATCTCTCGCATCACCCATTTTAGCCATAAATTTTAGGATATTTAGCTATGTAACTCTCACGTCTACTGTCTGTTCAAATTAAAATGACAAAAAACTTCCTTCCGACTCCAGATTAGAAATTTGATCGGGTGTATCTAATAAACAAAAACATTTTCTTTATCTTTGGTTATCTAAGGCCGTGTCTACACCTATTCAAGTTTCTTACATGTCACATTTAGATAAGCTAAATAAATGGCCCTTTCAACATTTTTTCAGGCACAATTTTTACTGAAATGTCTCATTAAGATAGCCCAGGATTTATACCTTTGTCTTTGCAAGACTATCATGTTTCTGTAAAATATGTGGAAAAAAAGCGGGAAAATGATGCAATTATAGCTACAACAGAATGGAGTTCATTGAAAAAATGTGACAAAAATTTATTTTGATGCAAATTCTTTATTTGATGAAAGTTATTCACTAAATGAACAAGATCATTTTAAATCCATTTTGACTCTACTTAAAAAAAGCGCTCTTTTTTATTTTTTTTACAATGTATTTATTTATTTATTTTTTTTGCTCTTCTGTGTATCAGCGTATTGATTCGTTCCTTTGACCAAGACATTGTAATCATTTACTGAAATTCAAAGGGCATGTACACTGAATCAACAACAAAAAGTCAGAAAATAATAAGAATAACAGCACTATCAAACCTTCGGGCACATGTTTTGTGTCAAACCGATGTTATCAGTGTCTTGACAGCCAAAAACTTGTAGAAAAATAGAACGTGTTCTAACTTTCTTGCAAGGAATTATCTTCTTGGATGTCACATAATTTCTCTTTAAAACTCATTCGAGTAGGGTGTCTACACTATCCAATACAAGAGAATATGATACTTGCATTCAAGACTTGGATAGGTGTAGACGGGTTCTAATTTTGATTCAGGAAGTTATGCGACGTGTCTACATACAGGATGTGTTGTCGTCTGTATGAACATGCACACAATATTGTAATACCACAGGTGTTCGGCGCGTTGATTGGTCACTACACCCGGGCCAACTAACTCCCCCCCCCCCCTCACCCACTCTACAACCCTCCTTCCTCTCAAAAACAGGTAAACTGCAGTATTTTTCATTTTAAACATGTTTTAATATTTGGTATATAGTTTTATATGATGTTTTCATTGAACAATTATTACAAATAATAATATAGTTTGATCATATTTATATGCGCAATACAAAAAAATATTCATTCATTTCGAATAAACTGCCGTTTAGTCGGGTAATTTTGACAAAAACACAGCGGTCAGGTCTCTGTCGAGTTACACTTTCGGTGACTTCGAGATGACATATCTTCGTAAAACTTGAAATGATTGTAATGACAGCTTAAATTCCTTTAAGAGTAATCAATTCCCTACTATTTGGTACCAAAATATTGAAAATTGGTGAAAAATGTTGGAGTTATGGAGTTCATATTAAGATGAGTGCTGAAAAATGAGCGGCGAGTTGCATACCTTTACTAAATATATATGTATGTATCTTTTTGTTTCGTGTGTGTGGAATGAAGGTAATTGAATTAAAAATTTAAACCAATTATTAAAACATGTTTTAAATGAAAAATACTGCAGTTTACATGGTTTTGAGAGGTAGGAGGGTTACGACCCTTTACGACCCTTTTTACGACCCTTTTCGACTTAGAACTTATGTTTAAGTTTGCGTACTACCTCAAATGATCCATCGAGAACAACTATACTCATCTTGCAATATCGTGTAGAATTAAATGAATTTGAATGTAATTTCTTTTGTAATAAAGCCCAAGAAAAAATGTTTGCCTTATACATTTTGCATTTTCTCCACTTATAGAAAATAACATTAACTGTGTGTCGGCATCGCAGAATCCTGAAGTCGAGAAGAATACTTTTTAGATGATATGTGTCAATCGGAACACCTCGGCTATTATACAAAATAACCTTATCGGTGTGTGGAGTTCCAGAGACCTTTAAAATCCAAATAAATGTATATTTGTCAATCCCAGGACATATACGTATGGTATATATAAAAAACTTAATATAAGCCGTTTTGAAAAAAAATCATATTTCAAAGTCTATTATATATACATGTATATTATTATATGATTTTTTTTTTCAAAACGGCTTATATAAAGTTTTTTTTTAAGTATATTATCATAAGTATACGTCCTGGGATTGACAAATTTACATTTGGATTTTAAAGGCGTTTTGAGCTCCACGCCCCTAGTGTCTGGTTTTTTAGCTCACCTGTCACAAAGTGACAGGGTGAGCTTTAGTGATCGCTTTTCGTCCGGCGTCCGTCGGTAAACTTTTGCTTTAAATGACATCTCCTCATTAACCACTAAGCCAATTTCAGGAACAGGAATGTTCCTTTGGTGGTCACCTTTAAAAATTGTTCAAAGAATTTAATTCCATGCAGAACTCCATGGCAACCAAAAGAAAAAACTTTAAACATCTTCTTCTAAAAATCCCAAAGAGCTAGAGTTTAGATATTTGGCATGAAACATCTTCTAGTGAGTGTCTACCAAGTTTGTTCAAATAAAAGCCCTGGGGTCAAAATTGGCCCCGCCCCAGGGGGTCATTGATTTTCCCTATATGCATATAGTAAAAACTTAAAAAATCTTCTTCTAAAAAACCCAAAGAGCTAGAGCTTAGATATTTGGCATGAAACATGTTCTAATGGATGTTTACCAAGTTTGTTCAAATAAAAGCCCTGGGGTCAAAATTGGCCCCGTCACAGGGGGTCATTGATTTTCCCTATATGCATATAGTAAAAACTTAAAAAAAGTTCTTTTAAAGAACCCAAAGAGCTAGAGCTAAGATATTTAGCATGAAACATCTTCTTATGGATGTCTACCAAGTTTGTTCAAATAAAAGCCCTGGGGTCAAAATTGGCCCGCCCCAGGGGGTCATTGATTTTCCCTATAATTATGCATATAGTAAAAACTTAAAAAAATCTTCTTTTAAAGAACCCAAAGAGCTAGAGCTAAGATATTTAGCATGAAACATGTTCTAATGGATGTCTACCAAGTTTGTTCAAATAAGAGCCCTGGGGTCAAAATTGGCCCCGCCCCGGGGGTCATTGATTTTCCTTATATGTGTATAGCAAAAACTTAAAAAATCTTCTTTGAAAAAAACCAAATAGCTAGAGTTTAGATACTAAGCATGAAACATCTTCTAGTGAGTGTCTACCAAGTTTGTTCAAATAAAAGCCCTGGGGTCAAAATAGGCCCCGCCCCGGGGGTCATTCCTTTTCCTTATATGTGTTATACAAAAACTTTAAAAAATCTTCTTTGAAAAAACTCAAATAGCTAGAGTTTAGATATTAAGCACGAAGCATCTTCTAGTGTGTGTCTACAAAGTTTGTTCAAATAAAAGCCCTGGGGTCAAAATTGGCCCCGCCCCGGCTGACATTGATTTTCCTTATATGTGTATAGCAAAAACTTAAAAGTCTTCTTTGAAAAAACCCGAATAGCTAGAGTTTAGATATTAAGCATGAAACATTTTCTAGTAAGTGTCTTTTGTTTGTTTGTTTGTTTCATTTTACGCCTTTTCCCAACAGTATTTCAGTCATATAGGCGGGTAGTTTCCTAACCATCGTTCCTGGAGAGTTACACCAGTACTAGACTACCTTCCTCCGCGCTAAACTACCAAAGCATCTCCCGGGGATCGAACCCACGCCAGAGAGGTAACTGGATTAGAAGTCATCGACTCTAACCCCTCGACCACGGAGGCGGTTAGTAAGTGTCTACAAAGATTGTTCAAATAAAAGCCATTGGTTCAAATTGCGCTGCCCCAGGTGTGTCATTGTTTTTAACTATATGTGTAAAGAAAAAAACTTGACCAGCTAGACCTTGGATGTTAAGCATGAAATATCTTCTAATGGGTGTCTACCAAGTTTGTTCAAATAAAAGCCCTTGGGTTTAAACTGGCTCCGCTCCGGGGGCCTATATACAGGTGAGCGACTCCAGGGCCATCATGGCCCACTTGTTGTTTTAAATATAGCTGTGCCTTTTTCTTCAAAGTTTGACGGAAAGTGACGAGATGTTGCGATTTGATGTACGTAACGTAGAGATATTTTTACAGAGATGTTTTCATGGCCATTTCTTGAATAAGTGTATAAATAATGTCTTTTTGGCTTATTCGTCAATTCTTAATTTTATTTACAATAAACAGATAGCAAATGTGAAAAGTTGATGTGATCATTTTTTGTTTCATTTTGAGCTCACTATTCGTAAAATAACCGTACGCATCGGCGTCGGCGTAACCATCTGTGTTAAAAGTTTGCGTACCACCTCAAATATTTTTAAAGTCCATTGATATATAGTTTTGAAACTTTGCACACTTGTTCGCTATATTGCCCCCAACTTGTACACAGGTTACGTAGCAAGCCTTTTTGACAAAATTACGCCCATTTTTCGACTTAAAGTTTATGTTTGCGTTCAAAATGATCCATCGACATATGGCATTGAGACTTTGCACACTTGTTCAACATCATAATCTCAACATATACTGGAGGGTGCCACTGTCTCAATCTTGTTCCATTCCTATCAAACACCAAGAATAGTCGAGCACGCTGTCCTACTGACAGCTTGCGTGGTTTAAAGTCAAACATACATTGCAGAGGTTGTATCACGACTTTGCAGCTTGACTTAGTAAAAAGACCTGTTAGGGGCTTTCTTGCATTATCTGTCATAACGTTTTGTTAGCAACTTGATAGCTTCTTCACATGACAGATATCAGTCCGACTTGAGTGTACGGTCGCCCATACGGGCTTTCCGGCGGCGACCTTAAATAAACGCATTAAAAATAAATAAGATAGGGGTCCGTACTCTCAGTGCCTGAAAGGGCGGATGGATCCTTATTATACTTAGAACACACACACATAAAATAACCCGAAAATGTGTAGTTTGTTAGATATGTGTATTTGAGAATAAGTGTTAAAGATTAGTTTAAAAATCTTCAGGCACTCATTTTTTTCACGTATTTTCTTCAATATAAATCGGCAAAAAGTTAAAATAATTGTGATGTTCGTTTATGATGTATGCAATATTCTCTTAATCCCGAGCTTGAGCATTTAGAATAGCAATGCGGATGATGCCTTTACATTTGAATTAAATGCATGCAGCATATCACAAGATACACAAGGATAATATTTCTACACAAAAAGTAGGTAGTGTTAGTTAAAAAATTTACTTACTTAACAATTGATAAATGGTAATTTGGAATAAATTTTTATCAAAAGTGTGATTCTTTTTCCGGTGTAACATAATTAAACATGTAAATGTTATAAAATGGGAAACAGTGTAGCTATAGTGTCTTGTTTATTATGTTAATTTAAATATGAAAAGACAAGTATGTTGAGAAATTTGAATGGACTCAGTTCCACCCAAATCACCGATACTTAAGAGTGTAGGTCAACAAAATTTCTTTTGATTTGGAATAGGTTCCCCCCCCCATAAAAACCATAAAAATACCATTTGTAAATTTCCATACATAGGGGCCTCATAATTTTCTTAGTTATAGTATTCAGTTAAATATATACATGTATATAGCTTTTAAAGTTTAGATATTATAACAAACAAATACTGTTTTTTTAAACATTTTTCTACATTATGCTAATCTAATCTTGTTATAAATACCAACATACAACAGTTCAACAGTAACTTTACAAATATCACAGTAAAACTGACATGAAAATAATATCATAAACAATAAATTCATTTTAAAAGTAACATGATAAATTATCTACTAACAGTTCAGGAAAAATTTTATATTTTACACTTATAATTATAATAACCCAAGTAAAAAAATTAAATACATGTTAAACATAACATGTAAAAATTTAAAAACAAAATAAAAACAAATCACATAACATATGTAATATAGTATTGATGATCTTTCTTATAAATTGAGTTTCAGTTTCAAAAGCAGTCAAAATCAGGAAGATGTAATTTTATAACAAGTTTACTTTTATCAAAAAAAAAAAACAACAACAATACACAGTGATGATGATACAAGATGATAGAACACCAAATAAATAAATGATATCTTACTTCGCATATAAAATATCATTTGAATGGAGACTATCTTATTTCCTATGATAAAAACCTAAATATTTGTCAAAAGTCTTTAATCAAGGAAGTTACAACAAGACCACCTTAACATGAATGACAAACATTTGACAAGATTACATCAGACACTTTAATAATCCTGCACAAAGGCAAACAAATTAATAAAAGCAGTTCAATTTCTTAAAACAAGAGGGCCATGATGGCCCTGAGGTCGCTCACCTGTACATAGGCCCCCCAACCCCCCCCCCAACATGCAGGGCCAATTTAACCCAAGGGCTTTTATTTGCACAAACTTGGAAGACACCCATCAGAAGATGTTTCATGTTAAACATCTAAGCTCTAGTTCATTTGGCTTTTTAAAAGAAGATTTTTTTTCAGTTTTTACTATACACATATAGTTAAAAACAATGACACCCCTGGGGCCGGGCCAGTTTTGACCCCAGGGCTTTTATTTGAACAAACCTTGTAGACACTTGCTAGAAGATGTTTCATGCTTAATATCTAAACTCTAGCTATTTGGGTTTTTTCAAAGAAGATTTAAAGTTTTTGCTAAACACATATAAAGAAAATCATTGACCCCCGGGGCGGGGCCAATTTTGATCCCAGGTCTTTTATTTGAACAAACTTTGTAGACACTCACTAGAAGATGTTTCATGCTTAATATCTTAACTCTAGCTATTTGGGTTTTTTCAAAGAAGATTTTTTAAGTTTTTGCTATACACATATAAGGAAAATCAATGACCCCCGGGGCAGTGCCAATTTTGACCCCAGGGCTTTTATTTGAACAAACTTGGTAGACACCTATTAGAACATGTTTGATGCTCAATATCTTAGCCATAGCTCTTTGAGTTCTTTAAAAGAAGACTTTTTAAGTTTTTACTCATAATATGCATATAGGGAAAATCAATGACCCCCCGGGGCGGAGCCAATTTTGACCCCAGGGCTTTTATTTGAACAAACTTGGTAGACACCCATTAGAACATGTTTCATGCTAAATATCTTAGCTCTAGCTCTTTGGGTTCTTTAAAAGAAGATTTTTTAAGTTTTTACTATATGCATATAGGGAAAATCAATCACCCCCGGGGCGGGGCCAATTTTGACCCCAGGGCTTTTATTTGAACAAACTTGGTAGACACTCACTAGAAGATGTTTCATGCCAAATATCTAAGCTCTAGCTCTTTGAGTTCTTTAAAAGAAGATTTTTTAAGTTTTTACTATATACATATAGGGAAAATCAATGACCTCCCGTGGCGGGGCCAATTTTGACCCCAGGGCTTTTATTTGAACAAACTTGGTAGACACCCATTAGAACATGTTTCATGCTAAATATCTTAGCTCTAGCTCTTTGGGTTCTTTAAAAGAAGATTTTTTAAGTTTTTACTATATGCATATAGGGAAAATCAATGACCCCCCGGGGCGGGGCCAATTTTGACCCCAGGGCTTTTATTTGAACAAACTTGGTAGACACCCATTAGAAGATGTTTCATGCTAAATATCTTAGCTCTAGCTCTTTGGGTTCTTTTAAAGAAGATTTTTTAAGTTTTTACTATATGCATATAGGGAAAATCAATGACCCCCTGGGGCGGGGCCAATTTTGACCCCAGGGCTTTTATTTGAACAAACTTGGTAGACACTCATTAGAAGATGTTTCATGCTAAATATCTTAGCTCTAGCTCTTTGGGTTCTTTTAAAGAAGATTTTTTAAGTTTTTACTATATGCATATAGGGAAAATCAATGACCCCCCGGGGCGGGGCCAATTTTGACCCCAGGGCTTTTATTTGAACAAACTTGGTAGACACTCACTAGAAGATGTTTCATGCCAAATATCTAAGCTCTAGCTCTTATGGTTTTTTAAAAGAAGATATTTAAAGTTTTTTCTTTCGGTTGCCATGGCAACCAGAGTTCTGCATTGAATTAAATTCTTTGAACAATTTTTAAAGGTGACCACCAAAGGAACATTCCTGCGAAGTTTGGATGAAATTGGCTTAGTGGTTTATGAGGAGATGTCATTTAAAGTAAAAGTTTACGGACGGACGGACGGACGGACGGACGACGGACGGACGACGGACGGACGGACGCCGGACGAAAAGCGATCACAAAAGCTCACCCTGTCACTTTGTGACAGGTGAGCTAAAAAGGAAAATGGTGGAGATTTGGGCCGATCACTGCCAAAATTGAAACTGAAGCCAGTGGTACTACCCTGGTCCTCATTCCCACCATCACCAAACATAGATAAGAAATTTCCTCCCTCTGAGCTGCAGGGTTGGCTTCCTCCTTTTACACCACTGTTATCGCCAAAGCCGAAATTGAAACCACTCGGCGAGTCATTATCATTATTACAGGCACCAAACAAGGAGAAACTTGGACTTTCTGTAATCTTTGAACAGTCTCCGCTGCCAAAGTTGAACGCATAACCTGGCGATTTACATTCGCTTGTATCTAGAAAGATAAAACTTGATCCTATAATGACATTTATGTCAGCAATATACATGTATAATTATTCATATCTGTAGATATACTTACACCCACAAAATTTTTAAAGCAAATATTGAGGTTTTTAAAGCAAATATTTAATAAGATAAGGTACTGATTATCAACAATAATGACTTCAAACAATATATTTATCTTTTAAGAGATGAAAACAATATACATTTGTATGACCATTGTGAAAATCTAGAAAAGTTACATTGTAACATTGAATTACCATTTTCAGACTGGTTCAATAACAAAAAAGCCTACCATTGCTACTTCCAAAGGCACCAAAGAAATTGAAAGCAGACTGTACTTCTGTATCACTGACTGGTTTTGTATTCTGATCATTGTTCTGTCCTGCTCGGTAAAATTAATATTTTTTCAAAAATTCATTTTTTTTTTATTATTATTATACGAGTGTAAATAAAAATACCCAGCTTTAGATCTCTGACAGTGTCTATTCTTCTGACAGTGTCTATTCTAGGAGGGGAGATTCACCCATATTTTTGAGAATTTCCCCCTATTTTTTCAGAGGCAGGGGGAAAATTTTACATAGAGAAAGAAGGAAAAAAATCAACAAATGTAATAAATTCTCACTTTTCGATAAAAATCCCCCCTGTTATTCAAATCCTAGAATAGACACTGTGATCTCAATTTAAAATCTTAATCTGTGCCCTCTTCTGACTCAAGAAATTGTTACTAGGTGTTAGAAAAAATTGTTACCAAAACTAGGGCCAACTGTATGTCATAAGTTTTGCCTTTTAAAAAATTTTGGGCAATAGCATTTGAGTGTTAAGAGGTTGACATGAAAAACAATTACGTTACTAGCCAACGAGTATTATGTTCATTCTATGTAAGTTTTCACGTACTATAACTAACAACTACTGATTATTCTGCATTCAACTTCTTTTCTCAGCTAACTGTAACTGAGATTTGATTATTTAATGCTGTCTTAATAATATCTTTATAAATTAGATTCTTGCCAATATCTTTCTTCTTGTTCAAAAAGGATATACATATTTTAGATATTCAAACTATATACGAGAACAAACCTTTGGTACTCGCTGCATTAGTATGATCTCCACTTCCATCATATGGTGTTGTCAATGTTGAATTAGCCTAGTAAGAAATAAGAGAAATTTTGTAAACCATATTGATCTGATATATCAATTACAAGGGCTATATGTACATCTTTTATGACTAACAAGAGATTTTGAGGTTTGGTTTAACAGACTTTTCAGTAAATTTTTACCACCACAAAGTTTTTACCATTAGGATAAACAATCAGCTATGTAATTTTCATAATGTATTGTGTGGTGACTAAGGTTGATCAACATATTTATTAACCAATCATGTACTGCTTTACAGATCACAATTTCTCCATATAGCATTAACAGGTCACATGACCCTCCATGCCTCAAAAATTAATTGCATTCCAATATGCTTATGCATTAAACTACATATGTCTGTACTTTTAATCAAATAAACAACCATACCTGACCAAATAATGGAAATTGCATGTTTTCACTGCCCACATCCTGACAATTTCCTTCCATCTGAAAATTACAAAACATATATTTTAAACATGGAATAACTTAAAATATTTCAGCATATTCTAAAGCAAAACTGTCGAACATAAAAGTATTAACCTTCTTTGTAATGCATTAAAAATACATTTAATACTATTCAAACGTTTTTTTCTTCTAGAAATGTACCTATAGCATATGAAGTAACACATATTCCTATTGGCCCAGATGGTTTATCATATAACATTTTCAAATGCAGAGAAAAAAAATCAATTTATTAATTTTAACAATAATGTATAACTTTGGCACAAACAGCATCAGTCTGATTTAAACTTATTATAAATATATGGTGCAAAACAAAATACATGTATCACAAAGGAGTAAAAGATCTGTAACAATGCTGCTTGTACGTGTAATGATTCTAAGAAAAATGTATTTAACATGTTATTCTCGCTAACAATCAATTATGTTTTTTTACTTTTTTTATACCATTTTTTTGTCAAACAGACTAAATGAAAAAATATGCATATAAATAAATGTGATTTATTATTATAGTATCTACATGTAAGTTATCAACTTTTTATAACAACTAATGTGCCATTGACTACAGCAATGACCTCATCTCTGGTCTTTTACTTGCTTACTTAGTTCAACATATAGAGCATCAGATTTGAAATCCAGAGATGACTGGATTGATCCTTGGGGTAAGATGAAATTTCTATGCAGGAACCAAAATTGATTAGCCTTTTCCACCGGTATTTTTGTCAGGGCAGTTACAGAAACTCAGTAAGTAATTAGGATTAACATTATTAATAGATACAGTTTAACAACAAAATTTTAATATTCAAAAATATTCTGTTTACAGTTTTTGTTAAATTATCTTTAACACCAAAAATATCTGTACCTTTAACCTAAAGAAGTTTTGATTTAAAAGGGATTTTAGTATTAAAATACCAAAAATTGACCAACAATATAAAACCTGGTGAGACAGCACATATGTGCAGACTGGCCTGACTTTATACTGGATGCAAAAGCTAAACACTTTCAGTCTTAACAGCTTAACATCAAAGAACATAACTTTACCTCAGCAAATGCTCGTTTGGCAGGATAAAAATTTGGATGAGCAGGTGATTTCTTCATGTCTGCCAGTTTTTTCTGATGTTTCTCCAGATCAAATGGACTGAATGTTTCCTCTTTTAGACTTCCTTCGTCTACAATTTCTATTTGTGCATAAACGAACATGAAAATTATTTAACTCTTGTAAAACAACAATGATGAAATAGACATGTACTCACTTCTAAAAATGATATTCCCTTTTGCTGATTCAAGAATTATGAAAATTACTATTTCAATCTAGTATCACATATAAACAAAGCACACCGTTTCCACTTCATTTTCTTATCATTACTCATCATTCTGTTTCATGACTTTTGAGTTAAAGGAAAGACCTAACTAGCAAAGTCTGGTATTTATTCAGGAACTGATTTACTTTCCGTTCACACTCTTTTTACTAAAATCCTTTGTTTTCTTTTCTTTTTATACAAACTTATACAGTATAAAAGATAATCTATAAACTACCAATTCCTGGAAAATGTCAACACTAAATTTATCACATGAAAATTAACCTAATCACCTGGTGTTACAGGTTTGACTGGACTTTTATCAAGACTGGAAATCTCATTTGAACTCTCTGGTGCATCTTTTACTTTCATATAATCTGTAAAAGACAAGAAATAATATTGACTCTGTGAGCAAGAACAATCCTGTTTGTCTATTGATGGGTATGAATACTGTAATTTGTGAATTATAAAATCTCAAATGACTCTAAGGTTTAGAAAAACATTGAAATAGGTTGATAGACTTATTATCATGAAAGTATAAAATTCCATACATCCCTTGAACATTATTCTGGTATATCTTGTTTGAATTACTGACCTCTTATTAGCTTTATGAATGGCCATTAACAATCATGTTATAGTTTTTGTCTGTTTGCCAACTTTAACACTTTTTTGGTCATTACACTGCCATCAGTCCACTTAACCAGCTCTCCGGTAACAAACCACAAATTACCAATTTCTCACGAAGTAAGTAACCCACTACACGATTTCTGAATCAGCCAAGGGAGACAAATGACCATAAAATTCAACATCTAAGATCAATTGTCACAGTGAAACTTTGTGTTGCCAAAAGATCAAATCATTGAACCCAGATTGATTAATCTCAGTCTATAGAGCTTGTTCTACAAGGGCCGTTAAAACACTATGTATATATATATATATATTAAAAATGTGGATATCTTTAAACTATTAATCAGTTATTCACATGTAAAATGTCGGTACATACATGTGCTTGTTCCATCAGGCTGTGGTATTTTCACACCAATCTGCGGTGTACCTGTTACATTTGGTGCTGACACTGTCACTGTTGCTTCCTTTATATAATTATATAACAATAATACATATTAACATGTAGAGTACAGAATGTACATGCATAATGAATCTAAGTTCTAACTTTATAAGACTTTCTTAATATCTAATTAATAAATATCTCAATTTCTATCAAGATTTTTATCAGTTTATTGTTAATAACAATGTATCATATGGAAACAATTCTGATAAAAAACAAATTCAATTTCTAAACAAATTCAATTTCTATCAGTTAGCTAGAGAAAATAAACTTGCAAAAAGTTGATTGTTAAGTCTCATTTTAAGTCTCATTTTATAGGTAAAATTCTGTTCTGAGAGTAAATAGGATTTTTAGCCATGTTTTTATTGAGACTTAAACCGCTGTAAGAAAGCAAACTAGAAATGTGTCATCATGCCATGGATGCCCCCGCATGCAGCCAAAAGTTCAGATGTTATAATATTTAGTTCCAAATTTGTTTGCACAAATTATTTTTTTCATTTTAAGTTCAAAGCCCTTAAAACTTTTTCAATGTTAAACCAAACCATTTTTATACAATGTTGAAGGCACTGAAATTATTTAGTCTTAACCTTTTGTAAATTGCATATTGCATATTTGAGGCCAAAATAATGGCTACATACATAGCTGAAACTGAAAATTCAAAATGTTTCCCAACATTCAGGAAAGATAAGTTTGTCCAAAATCATTGAACCACGACCAAATTCAAACTTAAACTGATTATTCCTAAGATGTATCTATATGATAAATTTGAGTTGAATGTGTACAACCATTGGGGAGATAATGAAGGGAAACTTAAAATTTCTGATTTTTTTTCAAAGTTCAAGAGGGATAACTCTGTCAGCTATCATCAAACCATGACCAAATTCAAAATTGACCAATGCATTCTTATGACATATCCATATCTTTGAGTTGAATATGTACAACTGTAGGGGAGATAATGAATCGGAACTGAAAATTTCCTTTTTTTCAAAGTTGAGATGAATATGTAACACAGTGTTGGGGAGATAATGAACAGAAATTGTAAATTTCATATTATTTTCAAAGAGAAAGGGGCATTACTCTGCCAAAAATCATTGAACCATGACAAAATTTGAACTTGGCCTGCACATTCCATTGACATATCCATATGTCAAATTTGAGTTGAATGTGTAATACTGTTGGGGACATAATAACGGAAAATGAAAATTTCATATTATTTTCATAGTAAAAGGGGCATAAATCTGCCAACAATCATCGAACCATGACCAAATTCAAACTTGGCCTGGGCATTCCTTTGACGTATCCATATGTCAAGTTTGAGTTAAATGTGTTGTACCGTTAGGGAGATAATGAACGGTTCATATTATTTTCAAAGCAAGAGGCTTAACTCTGCCAAAAATCATCGAACCATGACCAAATTCAAACTTGACCTGTATTTTCTCATGACATATCCATATGTTAAGTTTGAGTTGAATGTGTGCAACAGTTACCAAGATAATGAACAGAAAAGGATGATGACAGAATGACGGAACAAGGTAACACTATATGCCCCGGCCATTAAAAAAATTGTCTACACTACCTAATATACCTAATAAACTACATGTATGTTATTTTCAGAAGGATAAAATTCTAAAACATCTATTAATGATTTTATTTGATTAAAAAAAGCTAAATACCTGGTCTTGTCGAGTGGCATGTGGAGATATGCTAGTTTGCATATGTGGTGATATGCTAGTTTGCACATGTGGTGATTTGCTAGTTTGTACATGTGGTGATTTGCTAGTTTGTGTATGTGGTGATACACTAGTTTGCATATGTGGTGATACTAGTTTGCATATGTGGTGATATGCTAGTTTGCACATGTGGTGCTATGCTAGTCTGCATATGTGCTGATACACTAGTTTGCATATGTGGTGGTATGCTAGTCTGCATATGTTGTGATATGCTAGTTTGCATATGTGGTGATATGCTAGTTTGCATATGTAGTGGTATGCCAGTCTGCATATGTGGTGATACACTAGTTTGCATATGTGGTGATATGTTAGTTTGCATATGTGGTGATACGCTAGTCTGCATATGTGGTGATATGCTAGTCTGGGTATGTGGTGATATGCTAGTATGCAAGTTTCTGTCTGTTGTATCAGGACCTAATTTAGACTGAGTTTGCCTCTGGCGTATTTCATCAGGTGTTTCCGGCCCAGATTTCAGATGACTCCCTGGACCAGTAGAACTAAAAGAACAACAAAATACATAATATAAAATGGTTTGTTCATGTTTCCCCACCTTGAAAAAAAGAATACAATTCAATACACTGTGACCTTTACTCTAAATTACATTTTACACAATAATAAAAGGATGATACAGAAGAACATCTAGGACAGGGTGGCAAGTATGAAGGTTTTAATTTAATGATAAAATGCTTTCTGTCCATTAAAACCTTCACCAGGCATGCTAATATCAATCAACAACATGATTTAATAAACCTTGATGATGAACTTATGCAGTTTAAAGACATTTACATTTCAAAGAGCAAGTCAAACATAAAATTAACAAGACTGCATTGGTAAATATGCTAGCATTTTAATTTGAATGAAGATGCTATGGATAAAATTAAGTTACACTTGAAATCTACATGCTTAAGTCAGAAAAATCTTTAACATTTTTAATGGGTTTTTATTCCATTTTACCTATGAGATGGAAGAGAAGTTTGATTTCTTGCTGTCTGCTGCAGTATATGTTGATGCTGTGAAGGTAACTGAAGTGGAGATCTTTGAACGACTTGTGGAGACTGAAGTCTTACTGGTGGAGAGGTAAGTTGTAGTGGAGAGCGAACAGCACTTGGTATGCTTGTTTGAACAAATCTTTGAGTATGGTTGTCAGCTTAAACAAAAAGTCCTTTGAAACTTTATTACACTATACTATAACTGTAAAATCTACATATTAACTATCATTTAAGTTGAAAAAATCAAATCTGCCCTTAAATTTGATTCTTTTGCTTTTTCAGGTCATTTTAAGGGCAGGTAACTCATATAAATGTCTGACAAATCTATCTTTTTTTTTACTATTCGTTTAAGCTTCATGGTTGCCATGCAAAATTTCACTGAATTCCATCTACATTTGTTAAGTAGACACTGAAAATACTTTGAAAATAGGTCATTTTTATGAAAATTGGCATAGGTTTAGATAAATGAGAACAAATAAACTATCCACTTTTTACCAAGTTTTGAAATTCAAAAAAAATAAGGCCTTGCAAACTTTCATTGTTGATTATCTGCCCTCGGAATAAGCAAAATTTTCAAATTCAAGGACAGATTTGTTTTCACTTTTAATATTTCTGCTTTATCATTTTTATATATTAAAATATTACCCCATATGCCTTTGCTCTCATATCCTAAGTAACAGCAAAAAAATCAATTACAGACAACATGCTTAAACTTATCATATCCAGGATTCAAAGTTTACATATTACAAGCCAAAAAAAAATATGTATGTAATAAACACTTAAAAAATTCATGAAATTTAAACATGTTACCAGATATGCCAGGCAGTCTGTTGGGCACAGACAACTGTGGTGGTCTCTGTAACTGGGAAGAGACTGACATTCTTACTGGCTGTAGCACTGGTAATCTGCTTTGTCCAAATGTATGTCTGCAAGTATCATAATAATATATGTCTGAGATAATACTTAGTCCTATGATGCTTTGATACTCAATATTAAAATTTCTCAAACTAAACATACAATGAGGAAGTGAAGTTAAAGGGCTAGAAAATTACAACATCATGAAATGCTATATAAGCCATCATTATATTACATCATGTACATCTGAACATCTACTCCAAGCTTTTTATTTATTGTATTTCACAACAACAACAAAAATCCAGCCTTTAAACTTTGGACAAAATTGGTAGGGTAGAGATACTGTGTAATAAGATACCTTCTGTAGGCCAAAATTTTGCAGAGTAATATTTTCAACTAATTGGCTAGGTTAAATATCCACTAATTTAATAGTCCCATTAATTTTATACAACACAAAGAATATCATTCATATTGTGAAAATTTTCAATTCTGTTAATTTAATTTAATCCCTCACGAAAATTTCTGACAATACCTTAACATATTTACCTAGGTGACTGAACAACTGGACTTGAAGCTGCATGGTAACTTCTGGGAACTGGTGACGGCTGAGGTCTTAAGGAGTGTGATCCTTGAACAATCTTGCCTGGTGGTACATACAATTGTGGTGTAGATGGTCTTGCCTGGGTAACAGACACAGGTTGGTATGAAGGTCTGTTTAGTGTAACACTGGGTCTGAGGCTTGGATCTACACTAGGTCTGAGGTTCGGATCTGATGGTCTAAACTGAGAGGTAGGTCTGACAACAACTTGAGGAATATGGGGTCTGTAACCAGGAAATGGTGACCTGGAGTTGGCCCCATCACATGTCTGCTGAAAAAATGAAATCAAAATCTAAAGCACTTTCTTTCACAAACTCTTAGTAAAATTACTTTTGTATCATTCTTAAGTCACAAAAACTATCATGAATAAGATAACAAAGTCTAAATATATATTCTTGTTTTTGTTTTTTACTTTTATGAGCAAATATAAATGACAAATCAATTTCACATATGAATCTAATGATACTTTATTTTACCAAGTTTGCAAGCCTTTGGCTGGTCAATAGATTTGGTCTCAGTGCACTAGGCTGATTTGATGTAATTGACTGAGGTTGTTTTTGAGAAGACTGGTTCTGTACTTTAGATAATTGTTGTTGTTGTTGCTGCTGCTGTTGTTGTTGCTGCTGCTGCTGTTGTTGTTGCTGCTGTTGTCTATCCCATTGGATATGCACTGTTTCTAAGTGAGTAAAACAAATCAATGTTCATTAAACAAAATAATGCTGAAAACAAGCAAACAAACCATTTTTGAAATTGTTTATTCTTTAATCATTTGTTTTCAATGGTTTCGGAATAGTTGCATATATATTGGATTTTACTTACCTCCATTTTGTCATTAGTGTGTACATCTGAAGATAAAACTAAATATTTGCATTTAAACAGGAATATAGCATAATTTTTATGACACTGATGAATTTCAAAGTTCTTTTATTTCAGAATTATAAATGATACCTGGACCCTTTGTTTTGTAAGCAACAAATGGGAGCTGTGCATCTTGACTTATAGACTGTATGCCTGGTAACCTAAGATTAGCTTCAGGTGTGTTCTGACTAGTGGCTGGCAACCTGCATTGCACTTCACTATTTTCTACCTCAGAATGACAGGTTTCCTGTGCCAGAACAGCATGTTGATCAGAACTCTCATCTACACCAGTTGCTTGTCTCTTGTTATAGAATTATAAAATATTTTTATCACATCTATTTATTTGAGTTAATAAATTTACAAATATTTAATTCTTATCTAACAATTATAATCAGTGCTGGTGGCAATTAATATTACCCATGTAACCAGTGCAGATCAAAATCAGCTGACACATCTGTGCTGCCTGCCAGATCATGGTCTGCACTGTCTGCTATTCAGTCAGTAAATATTTTGAACTTTCCCTAAGAATGATAAATGGATATGTCTAGATTGACAGATGGACATGTCCATTCAAGATTTTTCGTGTCGGTGGTAAAGGTTAAAGATAATAGTAGGAAATTGTTCCTGACCAATTCCTGAACATATAGCTTTTAAAACAATGACCCAAAAAGGTTCTACAATAGGTTCTGTATGAATGTTTGTATATTATAATTGTGCAGGCTCAATACTCAAGATGCTTAAAGAAAAGGGGATAGGTTATATAAGAAAAATCACACACTGAAATTAAGACAATCATTTTTTTTTTCATTCTAAGAAGAAAAGTTTGCTTTATTCCCCCATTAAAGTTATCCTCTTTCTTTTGGAGGAAAATACAACACCATCTTTTTTTTCAAAGGGGAAACAGCATATATTTAGGAGTAAGCTACAAGTAAAAAAAAACGTCACTAAGAGTATAATGATAAACCTGTTGATGTGATGTTTCAGAATGTTGAGACATTATTATATTTTCCTCTCGAAACTGGAGGTAAACTTGATCATGTGATACAACGTCTGTCTGCATGGCTTCAGATTCATCATCTCTATCTCCTAACATACTGAAATATCACAGACACACTAACATGTTTCATAATAACACATGTTTGTTCTTTAATTTCATCTTTCCTCTAAAGAACACATACAGCTACAATATTGAACTGCCTGCAAATTGCCAAATAATTGTTTGTATTGTGATTAAAATCCTGTAAAAAATTATGTTCATAAATTTCTCTGAATTTCCCATTAGCGGTGCATGGAAACCCTGAAAATAGCACAGAGGAATATTTTTTGTTTGGGAACATTTTATACTATCAAATTACTACATGTTAAAAACAAACTTATTTGAGAAAAGACAGTAAGATTAGGTAAAATTTGACTGTTCAATTTTTTAGTTTAAATATCTGACCAGTTTACAGCATTAACCTTAATGTAATCATCTAAAATAAATTCACTGAAATTTGCTTCTGAGATGTGTTTTGGTTAATGTACACATGCCATCAGTTGTTAAAAACCTAATTTACAAGCTTATTATTATGAACAAAGGCTATGTTTGATTTTTGTTTAAATTCAAAAACTTTTGAAATGGACTGGTTTAAGAATATATTCCAACATTTTAATCAATTCTTTATCTTACATATAAGCAAACACTTGGATAAGTGTGAGTGATACTGTGTCACAGATCTCATCCACTGGCAACAAAGCTTTATTTATTATCTTTTGAATATTTCTGATTACAAGTTAAATGTACCTGATCATTGGAGATTGGGTCTCTAGTTGAGTCTGTTGATCACTACTCTCCATTGACTCACCTCTCTCCTCACTGCTCTCCTTGTCAACCAGGTGCATATCTGTCAACTATATTGTATATCATATACGCTACTATAGTGTTCTTAATGTTTCATATGTAATTGTAAACACTATTACAAAGTATATTTCATATGAAAGTATTTGCTGATAAATACAATTCACACTTATATTTGAGTCTATTTTATTACAGCAACTACTGAAGAGCAAGAAACTGAAAAGTAACCATAAAATGTACAAGCACTAGTTCTTGAACTTTCATCCTTACCCTGCGTGAATCTAAAGTGAATAGCCTTTGCCACCAGTATAGAGCCAGGACAGCCTACACATCTGTGAAGTCTGACGAAGCTGAGATCTATATTATTGGCTGACAATCTTCAATCTATAATTTTGCTACGCCCAAAATTGGTAACAAACAGTTCAGAAATGAAAGCGGTACAAGTTCATTTAAAAAATTCAGCACGTTTCATTCACAAGTTTAGTTCAGATACAAATTAATTGAGAAACTAATGATGCTAGGGTTTCTTTCTATAAAAGAAACATTTGAAGTTTAGGCCTTGTAGTACATTATGACTATAACAAAGGCTGTCCATGCTTGACTATTCCCAGTGATTGACAGTAAGGAAAGGTGCATAACTCTGCAAAAAGGTAACACAGAGTTCAGGGACCTGTGTCCATCATGCATGATAATCACAGAGTTTCAACCCATTCTCTTCAGTAATATTGAAGATACCAACTGGTACGCAAAAACTTGCAACACTTATGCTGGGATAAGTACAAAAGCTCTCCTATCTTAGAATAGTCGAGATAAAAGCTGAAAATCACCTCTTTTGCATATTTATCAAATACAATCTGATTGATGTAGTGTATACCTTTTGTACATTTCTTTCATTAGTTTCATCACTGTCAGACTGTTCAATGTGCTGTGCTGTATGTTTCATTTCATTAAGCTCTGATCTTTTCCTCTCTATTTCTTGCTTGAGTTCAGATGTTGCAAGCCTCATTCTAGCTCTGAATGAATGATATTCAACAAAATATTCTCTAGTAATGCTGTTACCTTATTTACTTAATGGAGTTGAAATAATTGAATACACTTAATGAGTATTATATTCTATAAGCGGACCAATTTCATTAAAATCAGATCATTGTTTTTTTTTGTCTGTTACTCTTTTTACTGGGTATTTTTTTCATGTAAAGATATTATATCATTAATATAAGCTAATAATACACAAACTCCATGCCGGCTTAAAGTGCCTCCTACCTAGCAAGGGAAGTGGAGCGTCAGTTAGGATATGGTTTTTGATGAGATTGTAAGCGGACAAGATGCTCATTGAGCCAAAGAAAGGTATCCCAAATGACTCTGACTTTTTGAGTGTGATAAATTCATCACAAAAATTTTCAAGTATACTTTATATTATATAAGAATGTATGGACAAACAAAATATTGTGAATAAGTATTATATGTAATACATGAAATAGAGGCTAGAAATATTAAAGGCTTCTGTGCCATGGCCAAGTGATTTTTTTAATTTGTTGCCTTCAAATAAACCCCCCCCCCAACTTCACTCTTGGGACTTTGGATTTTTTCATATTAAGACGCTTCCCCAACTCACTTATTGAATGTTGTCAATTCTTCTGTCTATTGATTTCTAAAATAATGCACAGAGGGGCACTAGATGTCTTTCTCCTAAATAAATCAAAGCACAGAAGGCGCATAATTTGTTTGGGTCTCAGAATGTCAGAAAGGTGAAGGTTGTGAGATTTTAAACCAATAAGTAAGTAAGTAAGTAAATATTTTATTAATGTGTCATATGTAAACATACAAGCAATGAACAAACAAGACATGTATAAACAATAGTATACACCCGGCCCAATGGGCCTATAAGACACAAACAACATGAAGACAATAAATCTGAAAACACGTGAACAACATAAAAGGTATGTTTAGATAAAAAAAAAAGAAGAAAAAGAAGAAAGATCTTATTTATCTTCTAGCTCAAAAGAAATAATAGTTTAACCACAAGAAAGTACTGTAATAAGAAATTCAATGTTGTCAGTAAATATATTTGACAAATAAGAATCGAATGCCCAAAATTTACAAGTTACATTCAAGATTATTTATCATTTGAATACGTTGAATTATTATGACAGATTTTTCATAAAATATATGTATCACCTGTTTATAGAACCTTTCACTATGGTTTATCTCAATATCTTAGTATGATATGTTTTTGTATAGAGCCACCAATGCTTTCCAGCTTTTTAATTGTTGTTAATTGGCTATAAGACTAATTGCAACACTGATATTCAACTCAATGTTTATTTGACTTAAACAATTGAAAAAAGAATGAGCTGCTTTAAATGGGATTTGAACTCCAGACTTCTCGCTTCTTAAGAAAGCGTGCAAACCCTTCCGCCACAATGAAGTTATATGTTAACGGCCTGAAGAAAACCATATTATTCTAAATTAGGGTTTGTAACCCTTATTATTTCGACGCTAACTGTTGTTTAACACAGATGTAAAGAATCATGGAGCTTACTATAAGCATGTATATCTATAAAGAATAAAACAATATTAGAAATCTTCAACCATTCGGGAACTATTTTGCAAGAAAATTAATGCGCCCGTCATTTAACCATATTTACGCAGTGATCTCCCCTGAATTTTTCAGCGTTAGTGTACATATAAAGGGAAGTAACCGCTGCAAAAAAGCAGACTACTTTTGGCATTTGCAATTAACAGTTTCAGGGTCTGAAATTTCGATACCATTATTTATTTGGTCTGAAGACCCAAACAAATGAGCCGTGTCACGACAAAACCAACATAGTGGGTTTGCGACCAGCTTGGAACCAGACCAGCCTGCGCATCCGCGCAGTCTGATCAGGATCCGTGCTGTTCGCTATCAGTTTCTCTACATGTAATAGAGATGGTTAGCGAACAGCATGGATCCTGATCAGAATGCGCGGATGCGCAGGCTGGTCTGGATCCATGCTGGTCGCAAACCCATTATGTTGGTTTTGTCATGACCCGGCTCAAATAAAGATAGGGTATCATGACAGAGAATCCAATAAAAAACTTACAATGAAATGATGAATGCATTAGTTCCCATCTTGTATACCTCACCTTGACCTAGAAGAAAAGATATACAATTTTTACATACATGAAAAAAATATTGCTATAGACAGAGTTATATCAAAAGAGTCTAAAAAGTTATAAAAATTGAGTCTGGGAGAAGTTTAATTTAACATATATATGTCTATCTAAAACAACAACAAATGTAAGCTTTGTTATCCAATCCAGAAAACAATAAACAAGAGGGCAATGATTACCCTGAATTGCTCACCTGAGATACATTGCTACAAAAGCTCTAATTTCTAATTTCCATGTTGAAGTGTGTAATGAGGTCACATCGGGTTTGTCACTTTTTATCTTAGCTGTATAATTATTCAATTATTATAACGTAGGTGTCTGCTAAGAAATACCGCAAGGCAAATATATCTAAGCTCTTGGCATTGTAATTTCACACACAAGTAGACTTAAATGTAACAAATTCTTATTCAAGTTTACAAAAAATGTATATAACTCACACCCGAAAACTTTTGTAGATTTTCATATGCAGTATATCTAAGCTCTGGGCATTGTTCTTTCAGAAAAAAATATTTTCTAGACATTTTTAAGTAATGTGACCCTGAGGGCTGGGTCAATTTGACCCCAGTGGCATGACTTATATAGTTCATGTAGAGATCTACTGGGCAATGCTTTCAACATGCTACATGCCAAATATTTAAGCTCTTTGTATTGTAGTTTCAGAAAAAAAGAATTAAATGCATTTTCCTATACAAGTCTAGTAAACTTAAAGTGACCCCTATGGCATAACCAATTTTGGCACAAGAGCATGATAAATGTAAGTTTACAAGTTACAAGAAGATGGCATATGTCAAATATCTTAACTCTTTGCACTGTAGTTTCTGGAAAATGGATTTTTTAATACCTTTTCTGCATCAGACTAAGTAGGATCACTCCTGTGGATTTAATCAAAATCGATCAAGTGGTTTAGGAGATATTGTTTTAAGATATTGTGGATAATTGCCGAAGACAAACAACGGACATACTGCCATCAAAAAAGCTCATCTCTGAGTGAGCTAAAAAAAAAAGCCTAAAAGATGCCATTTTTATATAAACTTGTGTACAGTATTAAGAAATACATAATTATTTAATTTCATTGAAAATAAGCAATGTAAGAAATAAATAATAATTTAATTTCATTGAAAATAAGCAATGCTATGTGCTAGAATAACATGCGCATTTAGTGGTGCTAGATTATTTTTTCTTTTAAATGAACTGCTGTCAAAAGATACAAATTTCCTGTACCTTGTAACTGTTCTATTTTTTGTTTGGCATCTTGATTAGCAATCTCAGTTTCCTGGTTTCTTTTGGTTATTTCTTCTACCATAATTGTCTGTTTCTAATTTATGAATAAAAAATTTATAATAAGCAAGTTACTGTTTGTTGCCATGTCATACTGGTATCATTTAATTTGCTTAAACAATAACTTATTGAGACCTTGTTTCAACTTCTGTACAGAAACGATGACGTAAATAATAGGTGCCATATCTAAGTACTTAGTGATTATACTGGACTAAACAGTAAGCAGAAATGAATGATCTCAAAAATCAAAGATTTCCTGAAAACATTTTTAATGTTGGTTAAAATATAATGTGTTAGAGAAACTATAATGTCTGTGTAACAGTGATTACATATTTCTGTCAATTTGGATTGCAAGACAATCATTTTTGGTTACGCTTTTCTTACTGCTGTTCAGTCTGAGTCTTTTTTTTGCATAACATTCACAATAAATTCAGCAATACAGAAGTAACTTTCACTTGGTAATTTTTTTCTGTGGATTGGGAAAATAATATACTATTTTCAATAGGGAATATGACCGAATATCGTCTATAAAACAATAAAAAAAAAAGCCCTGTTGAATAACACCAGTACTCAGGTTAGATCAAGGAAACAACTAAAGTGAGGCTCACATAGGCTATAAACTTTCTTTTCAATCAAGCTTAGATAATTATATTATGTTAAAAATTAAACCTTTAATTCCACAGCGAGAGGTAATGATTCATACTTGTCATGATAAGTTGCCCAGATGTCTTTATATCTCTGTAAATGACAGTTGTGCTCCTGCCTGAAAAACAGTGAATGACTCGTGAATGATCATTGTTCCATTCATTTAATATCTTACATTTCATGTGAAGTTAGAACATGAATTTTTAAGATTAATGCTCTGAGAAACTGTTCAAAAATGGAGGAGACATCAAAATTATTTTGATTATTGCGCATTTTAAGATTGTTTTTTCTGATTATAAATTAGGAACTAAAAAAATTGCAATTTATAATTTTTAACATATCTGAAAGTTCAGTTTCGTTAATATATATTATTTGAATTTATGGAAATGAAGAGATTCATTCAGCTTAAACAACATAAAAATAGGCCCAGATTTGAAATACTGATTAAACTATATTATATATTTATTATGATATATATGAGAATAAAAGCAAAGATATCAAGATTTACTCTGAAGTTTGATTAAATTTTAAACAAATTTTAGCTAGTTGACTGTGATTGTAAAATTACTTATGTGCAAATGTTCTGCCCATTTAGACAAGCAAATAATATGACGTTAATATGCCTCTTTTTTATAGCAAACACTTTTGAACAGTAATAAAAAGCTGATTCAAATTTATATGCTTAAAAATATATACACTTATAAAGGCAAATTTAAGATTGATATTTAACTGACTTCTCTGCCTGTATTTTATGCTGCAGCATTTCCATCTTGCTGTCCATTGCAGCAACATGCTCTGTAAGCACATGATTTGTCTTTTTTAAACTGAAAGGTAAATAAATAGATGTATTCACAAAATCTTAATGAATAGTAGTAGCTTGATGTCTCATTTTATATATGGACACCGTATGTTAGAAACAAAGGAGAGGGGGGTCGGGGAGGTTACAATAACTGCTATACAGAGGGCCACTCTGCAAAAGTTTTACTGTACTATTATTAATTAAAAGCTTCACCTTTCTAGATTGTCCCTGTTCAGTGTGTACTGTTTGTGGCATTGTTTTGTATCTTCATCTAGCTGAGAAACTGCCTCTTGCAGTCGTTTAGTCTCTTCCTCTTTTAATTCAATTTCTTTCTTAAGACCTGAATGTAGTTATTGAGTAAAATGGCACTTGATTTAAAATAAAACTGAATAATTCATACAAAAGACAATTTTTAGAAGCACCTGAATATTTTTTTGATCTTTTATTCTTAATGAGTAAAAATATTTCAAATTTTTGAGATAATTATAATGTGTATTGTTAGCAACTTAACATGTTCCAGACAAATTAAAAAGAAGTATACTGAATGGAAATCAGCAAGATACAGTTCCAAATCACACTTACAATGATATTGTGACTACAGATTTAAAGGAGGAGTAAAACCTCGGGTATATTATTTCAGGCCTAAATTTTTACTGTCACAGGTGATAGCCAGTAACACGACAGCCAAATCTTCACAATCAGACATATTTGTATTCATCTTTCAGTGTACAAATATAGGGCAACTTGAAATTTATAATTTGGAAAGGTCTGATTCATCGACATTATCAGAATGTTACATTTAACCCTTTCGCTGCCAGAGGGTTATTTATTTATTGGTCACCTATTTGCCAAGTTTTCTAAGAAATTACTATATTATTAATAGATATTATTATTATTATTTGTTATTAGTATTATAATAATTATAGGTTTCCAAATCTGCTAGTATAATAATAATTATTGTCGATGGTATAATTATCTATATATTTATTATGATTATTATTATTATTATAATTATTATTATTATTATTATAGAAACGGCAAAAGCTGTCCATATGGCAAATACGCCGAAAATAATAGGGACGGCATATGCCGTCCCTATGGCAGTGAAAGGGTTAAATTGCAGACTTTCTTTTAATATACAGATAAAAAATAGACAGGAAAGATTTAAGAACAAACTTACTTTCAATGAGTTGATCTTCATGTTCTATCAGTTTTACATATTGCTGATTCTCAAACTCTGCAAATTCAATTATCATTCAATTAATCCTCTAAAATAAATATGAGCCGTGTCACGACAAAACCAACATAATGGGTTTGCAACCAGCATGGATCCCGACCAGCCTGCGCATCCGCGCAGTCTGATCAGGATCCATGCTGTTCGCTTACCAACTCTATTACAAGTAGAGAAAGTGATAGCGAACAGCATGGATCCTGATCAGACTGCGCGGATGCGCAGACTGGTCTGGATCCATGCTGGTCGCAAACCCACTATGTTGGTTTTGTCATGACGCGGCTAATATATAAAAGAAACACACCTAAACTTTTTTGAGGGAGTTGCAGATATGTTATTATGTGGCAAATTTGAGTTGTACTAATAAAAAATTAATAGAATTAAGTACACATTTTTAAAGAAAATTGCCAAAACCCCATAAGAAAAGAAATAATTATTGAGTT